CCTCCAAAGTGCTCAGGACAGCATTCATCATTTTCTTCCTACCCTCCATTTTAACCTTCAGAACAACCCCGTGAAGTCATTTGTCCAGGATCACTCACTGAGCTTCAAAGCTGAGTGAGGGTTTTGAGTGGGGTCTCTCCATTCTTCCTGGTGTCGCTCTGTACTCTTAAAACAAATGGCAAAGAACACATTATCTTACCTGTAGAAAGCTTGAAAAACAAGGTTTTTGAGCATAGGATGCTTCTGGCGTGGAAGAAAAAACACAAGCATTTATTTTTGTTTCATTGCCACTTCAGTCTATAAAGCAATAAAGCGCACTCTTCCAGAAGGGCAATACCTCACTCTATTTCTGTGGTCTCCAGTGTGCTACCCATAAATACCAGTGTCCTAGTGTCACCTTTTACTGGCTTCTGCCAAAATCCATCTCTTTCTTGACTTTAATTTTTTCCCTTAATATTAAACAAATTAACAAGGAGGTGGCCATGCCGCAAAACCATGTGCTGTTTTCCAGCATCATCTGTGTTTCGATTTGCAAGGGTGGTTTTGTGTTAGAACTTGAAGAAAAACCTCTGCTTTATATGCCCTTTCTTGGGTGAGTGGTGCTTCTTTTTGTCTCACCATTGCAGCTTATAGGACATGAATGTTTTTATTTTTGGTCACCAGCCACCTTCAGCCTGGCAGCCGTTTTATGAATGGACAAGTTTTTTTGTGGTAGCCACTTTGCAAGAGTGTGCACTGCACCAGTCCCAAAAGTTTGGGACCACACTGTAATTTACACAATACACTGACAAACTGGTAAGTCTCCAAAGGAGAAAGTTGTTGAGAGGTATGGAGGCCAGTTGTACAAGAAAAAGTTGAAGGCTGGGTATGTTTAGACTAGAGAAGAGATTTTTAAGCAGTGATAACAGTAGATATCTTCAAATATTTGAAGCACTGCTGCATGGAAGACAGAACAGATTTGTTCTTGCTTCAGAAGGTAGGACCTGAAGCATCAGGCTCAAATTATAAGAAAGCAGCTTTCAGCTGAGCTTTTGGAGAAACTTCCTGATAATAGAAGGTGATTGGCAGTGAAATGGAGCTGCCTTTCAAGGGAGTTGGCTCTCCTTTCATTTCGAAGCCTTTAAGTAGAAGCTAGATTTGTTCGTAATTTATTTCCTACACTGGGCTTAATGTCCTTTGAGGTCTCTTCTGGCTCTGGTTCTGTTACTTGCCTGAATGTGTCTTTGCAGTTTTAAAGATGTTGGAGAATGAATAAGAAGGGGGCAATGTTTAACTTATCCTTTTTGTTAAAGGATGTCTTCACTCAGTCGAGCCCTCCTTTCTCTGCTGGTCTCATACACTTCACCCCCAACAGGGACACTGTGCTTCTCATACCCATTTCTTGCCCATAATTGACAGAATTCTTGGCATAATTTTCCCCTCCTGCTGAATATCCTCATGCCCCATATTCTTCATACAAAGCTACAAGCCATTGTAGCTTTTAAAAATTCGGCTTTTAAATTGTATATTGTATTTTCTTATACTTTGCTATATTGTATTCTTACTGTATTTTATATGTTGTTGTAAACCACCCAGAAAGTTTCAGCTATTGGGCAGGATAGAAATATAATTAATATCACAGTTACAATATGAAGCCATGACTGCTAGAAGAACCTTGGGATGAACATATCATAAGGTCAGAGGGCAGTTGAGAGAAGAATTTTAGGAATTCATATTGCCATAAGTTAGTTGGAAATCCAAAAAATGTATTAATATTTGTGGGTTCTCGGCAGCAAAGTCAGTTTTTAATGTAGTTAGCCTCAGGTTGTAAGATCTTTGCATCACGAAAGTGCTAAATGAAATTCCATTCGAACCAGAACTCTTCACTTCTAGTTAATAAAGATCATCCAACCCATTTTGTGCTGTTTTCACAAGGTCACCTTGCACTGGTCCGCTCCTTCCCGGAACTGAGCCAATTTAAACTACATCTTCCATTACCAGACAAAGGGTATTAATTACGCAGCCTTATTCTGTTAATTATCTTGGCCTAATTTTCTGGAAAGCGAAGACTGTGTGCTGTGGCAAGTCACCAGGATGTTTGTAACATTTAGACTTGATTTTGCTGTTGTGTGCATCATTCAGGGCAGTGATGAGTAACCTTTCTGCAGCTGGCCGGTGTAGGCTGGGTGCCTCAGAAAGGCTCTGAAAAGGATTCTAACGTGTGATTTTTGAAAGGACACCCTGCAAAGAGTTGCTTTTAAGAATACAGTCGGCATCACTCTAGGTAACTCGGAAAACAGCCACTAAGTTTCTCTCTCCAGGTGAAGTCTTGGACAAGAGACACCAGGTGTGCCATTGCTGGCCAGCCCTGCCCAAATGGTCAGTGTGAACAGCATCAGGCTGTGTGCCATCTCAGCAGGGTCTGCCTGCGATATATGGGAGCCTGCCACATAGTACTGTGGATTACACAAGCACATCCGAGTGAGACTTGCCCATGCAGCTGCGGCGGCAATGTCATGACCCCTCCGCCTCGCACTGAAGGCTTGTCCAGGCCCGTGGTTAAATGAGATCCTCATAGCTAGAAGGCTTGTAACGGTTATTCTTGAATGGCACTGGAGAGGGGAGCTTTCCCTCAAAAGTTGGCAGTGGATAACTTTGTATGTAAAGGTAAGCCGTGATTTACATCACTAGGATGAGCTGCGCCAGTCCTTGAATTTGTTCACTCTCTTGCAATCCTCTGACACAGTTGCATGGAGTTCAGAAGCTTTTGTGTCCATTTTAGATTAACTGCAGTTCAACATTACATCTGAACCCATGCAAACTGTGCTAATACTTAACTCTGGTTAGTTGAAACAAGACAACTTTAAAGGCAGTTTATGAAGCTGGCTTGTTTCAGCAAGCCATCATTTAGATTAGAAGTTTAGATTCAGATGTAATGTTGAGCTTCGGTCAATCTAAAATGGAAGCAGCATTTTCCGTTCTTGTGGCTGTGCTATATAAGGAGATGGAAGAGAGAGCAGGTGAACCTATGGCTTGCCATGACTTGTCTGCTTAATTCTAAACCATGATTTATCACTGCATGTGAACACGATTACTTGAGTGCTCACTTGTGAGTTTGGTTGGACTTCTAGCCTACCTCTTATTTAAGATTCAGGGTAGCTTATAGCTGGGATTGGCAGACATCAACCTTGGAGGCTGTGATCTTGTGTGTGCGCGTGTGTGCGTGTGTTAACTAGAGCCCCCAAGGTCTGTTGATTGAAGCCAGGTGCAAAATACTGGCTAGGGTTGAAAGGCGGTAGAGCCAAGTAGAGCAGCGTTTTGGTTCAAGGGATGGCGCCAAGTACCTTTTGCACCCCCTCGGATGTCCTGAATATGCAGGTACCAACCAACATCTGCGTTATTTGGCATAGCCTTCCCCAACCAGGTGTTTCCAAATGTATTGTACTTCCGCTCACATCACCCCCAGCCAGCATGGCCAAATGTTGGCTGAGGATGATGGGACATACAGGCAACATCTAGAGGGTCCCAGGATGGGGAAGGTCAGTTGAGTAGTCAAAGAGGAGAAGCTGTTCTGCTGTTGCTATTGTTAAACAGGTCAGAATGGGGAAGCCTTGCTGAGCTATGGCAGTTATCCAGTGATTCCGAGGTGAAGGCTTCCTGGCTGCTAGTAGCCATCCCAGAGAAATTGACCTTTGATGGCTTCAAGAAGAGGCTCCCACTGTGGGGTGCATGAGAAAGGGTATCCCAGTGCTGGAGTCCCCACCAAAAGCCATTTCATACCATGGTTGGGGAGAGGAGGTACAAGGAATTCTCTCAGCCCGCTTGTACATTATGTGAAGCCATTCTGAGAGTGGTTTTTCTGCACCATTTTGGTCGAACTTGGCACAGGGACGGAATAATTGGACGAGGCATTCTCAGTGGTTAGAAGCAATTGTTACGATGAGAGCAGAGCCAAGCCAAACCGCACGTGGCAGGGAAAGTAGCTGCCAGGAGCAGGGCAGAACTGGCTCACAGCCATGACAAAGAGAACCTTTAACACTTGTTCCCCACTTCTTTGTGTGCTGAGTGGGGTGGGGGGTAGATTTTGTTTGGAAGAACAATGCAAGGGTTTTCATCTCTCCCACTCACTCATCCAGAGCTACCACACTAAGCCAATTCTCCTTCCCTCAACTTGTCCTTTTCTATTTAAACAGACCCTGGGAGGTCCAGTCTCTCCCATGCCATGAGTAATTTGACCCTCATTAAACTAGGTGGTACAGAACCTGAGGGCCAAATCCAGTTTTAGAGAAACTCTCAAGAGTGGTGGGTGGGGCTGAAAAGGGGAGAGGTTAAATTAAGAAAGAAAACAGCATCTTTTAGCTCTTAGTGCTGGGAGCTACACCTTCAGAAAGTCATTGCAACCTTTAAAAATCGGACATAAAGCCATGCAAAACACCAAAGGGTTGGTGTGGGAAGCAACTGGGGTGTGGAGAAGGGGGCATGGCAAGGGGATTGCATTGGGACTCCAGGAGGTTCAGCATCCCTGCAGGTCAGAAGCCACTCTAGGGCTCCAATTTTTAACATGGTGCTTGGAGGGACTTGGGCATCAGGCTAGAGCGGAAAAGCAAGCTGCCTGCACTGCACAGCACATCTGTTTCGCACAGTAACCCAGCTTCTGGGTGTACTACTTGTTTCTCCCTCCCTTTGGGTGGAAGCAATTGTAGGATTCTTCTGCCCTTTAAAATAACCAGAGGGGTGGGTGGAATATCCCAGTAGCACCATTCACCATCTAGATTTCCTTTTAAAGCGACAGCTGCGAGTTGGGATGCTCCCAGTGTGGGACCTCCAGGTCTGAAAGCAGCATGGCACCGAATGTGGCTTCCGGCTTCATGGTCCCTCCTCTGAACTAAGTTGACCTCTGATTTCGATACAGCAGTGCTCACTTCTAGAAGGGGTGAAAAGCAGCACCTCTCTGGAGATCGTCTTTCCCCTCTGAAACACTCTGTTAATGGCCTTCCATCTTGTTGTGTGTGTCATTGCAGGTGCTCTCACAGTTGGCCTTGTGCGACAGTGTCAAACCATTCATGGACGTGACAGGACCTGTATTCCTCCACGGTTGCCTCCTGAGTGGGTCACCACCTTATTTTTCATCATCATGGGAATCATTTCACTGACTGTCACATGTGGCTTGCTAGTAGCTTCCCACTGGCGAAGAGAAGCAACTAAATATGCACGCTGGATAGCATTCACTGGAAGTAAGTGTGCCTGTCTGCAGGCCAAGCAGGTGGGAGTCACCTGGCCTTTTGGGAAGCCAGCCAAGGGGCACCTGTGTTTATCCTGCAGTGTCTGAATTGCTTCCAAGCACTTTACTGCTCTTCTGACGTCCCACCTTCAATCTGCCTTTTCCCCACAGGAACCTGAGCCCTGCTGTCCTGGTGCAGGAAGCCTGTGCATATTAGCTCATTCTCCAGCAGAAGGGCAAATGTCAGACCTGGCAGGTGATCTCTGTCACTGCCGTTACCTGGGGATCCAAATCCTGGTGATTTGTCCCTGGCAAAATAAGCTGTGAACATGCTTGTTTTAATCCAATACATCTTTTTTTTTACTTTTCAATGTGATGCATTGGTTTCCAGATGTAAGACCTGATGTATGAACAGTTTTTATAAGCCAGTGTTGCCCCTGCTCCTTTAAAAACTTTTCATGTCTAAAAATTTGGATTTACCTTCTGAAAGCCCAATTTCACAATCATGTATAAATACTTTGGAGGAGAGACTATTTTATCAAAAGGAGGATCTTTAGTCTTTCTGGGTGGACATAACATGGCCCTTTAAAGAAAAGGCACGGCTTTAAGTTTATAAATTAGCATTTCTGAGTAAGCCCAAACTGATCAAAGGTTTACAAATATAGAGCATGTTTTAAATGAACTGCCATGTTTCTCAGTTCATTATAAACTGAGTACTTGCATATATGGTTTTATTGTAAAACTGCCCCGAGACACTTGTAGAGGATGGTATTAAAAAAGCGTAAATAAATAAACAAACCGAACAAAACAGCCTTCTCCAAACTGCTCATGAGGTGTGTTGGAATGCACCTCCCATCATCCCCCAGCACGGTTACTGGGGATTATGGAGACTGTTGTACAGCAGGAGGGTGGGCGCTAAGTCAGGAGATGTTGCCGCATCTGTCTGCCTATTCAATTGCCCCTTCGGAAAAATGATATCCATAGAGACCATGATTTGTAGAAAAACCAAACAGGGCAGTTGGCCAGTAGCAGTGTCAGCTGGGGCTGTGAAACGTCTTCCTGGATTCTTCCTGGACTCTGTGCCCTGCAGTGAGCTGTGGTTCTGTGCATGAGGCGGCTCTGCCTAGATAGGTAGCGTCTGGGTATTGTAGAGTTTGCTAGGTGTCTGCTGCTAGATGTCTTGGTCTGGGGTTCCACAGGGTGGGAGTTCCACAGAATCCATTCCAGACTTGCATAGAGCCGTGAATAAAATAGCGTCGAAGGCATCATTTGGAGCTGACTCCCGCAAAATGTGGCGAAGGCTTCGCTTTCAGTGGGATTAGAAAAATGCACAAGTAGCATGTGCCACAAAATGTGGCTGCATGTGGAGAGCTCCAGTCAGTGAGCCGAACCCCCTCTGGGCTGCTCTTTTGTGCCCCTTCCCACCCAGTTCTTCATGTTACTCTGCAATGGGGTGCTGTAGTCTCTGCGCCCACCTAAACCCCGCTGGACTGGATTTGGCGCGGCAGCTAGCATTACATTCATAGTTTTTTGTACTTCTAGATGCCTTGAGGACCCTCTCGGTTTGCTCATGTGCCCCTCTTGTACAGGTCACCTAGAAGCATCTGATGCCTGGGGGACTGCAGCTTCTGAGGGTGTTGAGCTCAGGCCCAAAGGTCAGTCTAGCTCATCTTCCCAGGGTTCCCCAGACAGCCCCAGCCCTAGCCCTGACGCCTTGTACCCTGTTCACTTCTCAGTAGGTAGTTCCCTGACTTCTGTGTGGATTTCCTCACCATTCTGAAAGGGTGAAATACCTCTTCTAAAGCTTGATTAATAGCAGTAGGAATGTTAAGCCAAAAATGCTGGCATTTTGGCCCAATCCCCCCCCCCCCCTTTGAATCTGTTCACCCGTGTAATGTGGCACCTGAGAACTTCTGCTGAATAGTATTTGGCTCTCAGGCTGAAAGATGGTCAACTCTGTGCATAGCTTAGTGGCAGAGGACATGCTTGGCACACAGGCAGTCCCATGTTCAGTCCACAGCATCTCCACTCAGGATCAGACAGCAAAGATGAGGGGAAACTTACGTCCAAAACTATGGAAAAATGCTGCCAGTTGGAATAGGCCACAGAGGCCTAATGGACAAACATCTGGCCTGGGCATGCATGTAGTTGTCTTATGCATGTGCTGGGCTTCGGTTGGATACAGGATCTGGACCTTTGTTTCTGCATTCGAGCTTTTCTTAATATGTTCTTAATGGGAAGAAGGAAGGAGGAAGAGGCTGGCCTTGATCAGGTCTGGACCTGTGTCCATTTCAAGGCGTTGGCAACCAAAGGACATGCCCTGCTCTTACCTGGGCAGCTTCACATCCTCTTAGTGTGCAATTCTGTGCACATTTAGAAAACTGAAAAGGCCTGCAGCTCCTAGCACGCGGCAAGCTGAGAGCTGTAAGCTTTTACCCAATTTTAACGTACACAGGATTGCATTTTCAGGAGGTTAGGCAGAGGAGACTCTGGTATAGACGCGTACTGGAGACAAATAGTAAGAATAGACTGCACCATTTTCAGCTGTGATGACGGGGGAACCACATTTCTGCCCAGCAAATATCTGCTGACTATCATGTTCTCTTTACTTGCGTTTTGGGATCCTTCCTTTCTGAGTGTCTGCTTTGTAGGGAGCTGGATTCTTTTTGACACGTTTAATGTTTGAACGCTTCCCTCCCTGTAATTTATAGTGGTCCCATCTGCTCTGTCACCACCCATTCTCTCGCTGCTGCCTCATTTTGAATGCACGGGTGACACCCAGCTTGCATTAGATGCTGCTGATGAAATTGTACTAAGTATAGGCACAGAACTAAAAAAGACACTCGCGTGCCCTTGCCTGCTTAACAGCTTGCCAGTGCCAGGAACAAATATAACGCTGCAGTTGCTTTACAAGTGGCAAAGCTTGAAGTGGCTTGAAGTAGAAGTTTGCCAGGGAAGTAGCCCACTTCTGCTTCAGTGTTTCGTCTGATCTTGCATTAATGAAAAGCATTAGGCTCCCTCTAATGGTAATTTAACTGAAATCCTGCTAGACTCAATGAAGCCTCTGCTGCTTTAAGTTTGAATTGTTAGGTGATATGGCAAGAGAAGCCATCAGCCCCTTTTGCTGTCCTTTCTTAGCTTTTCTCCCTGAGTGTCTTTTGCACGGCCCATGTGCTATTTGCGTTTCCTTTATTTACACGGTTGTAACCTGCCGTTCCGTTTGGTATCTCAAAGATGACTAGCTGTAAAAAAGAATAAAAATTCACAGAAGTGCTCAGAACAGTTGATTAAGAGTACAAGAGAGGGCTGCCCAAAGGGGTGGGGAATCTAAAACAAACGGCAGCCCAAAACTTGCCGTTTGCTGTTCATTTACAAGCCTGGCAAAATAAGGTGGTCTTCGCCGGGCTCCTAAAACTCAATCAGGATGGCATCAGTTGAGTTTCCTCCTTAGTTACCCCTTGCTTAGTCTTATTAGTGGGATCTGGGCCTCTGATCACAAAGGTTGGGCAGGTACCTAGGGCAGCAAATAGTCCGTTAAATATATGTACATCCTTTAAAGGAAGGATAGGCCAGAAGTAGGTTTCACCCTTTCTGCATAATACTAGAACCTGATGTCATCCCATGATCCTGATTGCTGGGAGATTCTGGACAAAACAAAGGAAAGGACTTCTTCACACAAGGCAGAGTTAAACTGTGGAATTCCCTGCCACAAGATGTATCGATGGCCACCAATTTGGAGTCCTTTACGGTGGGCTTGGATAGATTCATGGAGGAGAAAGTGATCCATGGCAACTAGCCCCGATGGCTATGTGCAAACTCCAGTATCGGCAGCAGTATGTTAGGTACACCAGTAGCACAGGAGCATGGGTAGGACAATTGTGGGGGATGAAGTCCAAAACATCTGGGGCCTGTGGGCAGCCCTCCCCTGCTTTAAAGGTCTTTTATGAAGGACATATATGCTATGCATTGGTCTTCAATGTTTATGTTGTTGTGTGTTTGGCCTGCTTTGAAATCTTGATGTGTAAGTGGTTTATAAGTACTTGTAAACTGTATTAAGAATAAACATGAGTGCAGGGGCGCTTCCATCAACAATGTTCGTGTGAACTGTATGGCTTCCAGCTCTTGCTCTCATTTGAGGTATGGGAGCCTACCCAGGTCTTTCCCAGACAGCAAGAAAGAAAAGGAGCTGTTCTCCGTGTACCTTTGGGAACAACGGCCCAGTCATCTGAGTTTCCCCAGTGGTTATAAAGAGAGCTGAGGCTTCTTTTCCCAGCTCGGCTGAGGCTCGTGTGGCTCATCAGGCCTTCCTGTGTGGGAGCAAATCAAACATCACGAGGGAGAGGGAATGGGGTCCTTGGAGATCAGTGTATGAAGAGGGGCAGTTCAGAAGGCCTTCAGGAACGGTACCTGCTGGGATGCTGGAGCAATCCATTTCTGCATCCTGTGTAGGAAGCAGGATCCTCCCCCTCCACCCCACTGCCCAGCCCCAGTGTAAAGGGAGATGATGCAGGCTGTGGCATCACTGAGGTTGTGATGCCAGTCTTGGTTTCCTTATTTAAGGCTTTTAGGGGCTTACATGTTGCCTTTTTAACAAAATGTTCTTATTGGCTTGCCAGAGCATTAAGCAAACCCCCAATAATTGTAAATTAGGAATTAATAGGGCAGTAAAATCAAGTGACAGAAATCTGTAAGAAAGCCCATAAGATAGTTTAAAAGCATGATTTAGTGTTTTTTTTTAAGGACCTTGCCTGGCACCAGACAACTTTGGCTGTTGGGCAATAGAAAAATGTGATTACTAATAATAGTAATAGGAGTAACAGTAAAGGGGCTGCCAGGTGCGTGAATTAGGGGGCCAGCACTGGGAAAGCCATCTCTACTATGCCTTCGATGGCAGGAACTCCCAAAAGGAAGCTCAACCCACACCAAGGGATTTTCACAAAGACGGATGGTTTTGGATGGTGTGTGTTGCCATTTAGTAGCTGTTCAAGGTGTGCAACCTGTTCGTTTGGCTTCCAGGTAACTGACAGTCTCTGAGTGCACTTGTCCCCTTCCCCAAATGCGTTTTCTGTCCCCCTTTGGACATGGAGCAGGGTGAAACTTTCAAGGCCTGTCGCTGCTACGCCCCTGTACACATAGGACTGTCAACACAGCTGGTGGTCTTGACACTAATCTGTGTGTGTTTTTTCTCCTTTTTCCCCCCAGTGATCCTGTTCTGCATGGCCGCCCTAATATTTCCCATAGGATTTTACATCAACGAAGTGGGAGGCCAACCTTATAAACTGCCAAACAACACGGTGGTTGGGTCGTCTTACGTACTATTTGTTTTATCCATTTTCTTTACAATAGTGGGACTCCTATTTGCTGGCAAAGTGTGTTTACCCGGCTGACGAATGTCTAGATACTGCTTCACTCAGTCATGAAGGAGAGTAGGACGTCTGACGCATTCTCGGGAGGATGCCAATGTCGGGCTGTTGCAGTCTTACCGGAACGAGGAGGTCTCTGTGTTCTCACTATGCACTTTGGATTTTGATTTTTGAGTTTCAAGCTGAGAGCCTTTCCCATAACCAAATAGACAACCTTGATTCATCTCCTGAGCATCTGGATGCAGTCAGGTGTGCACTGTGATAGGAAATAATGTAGAAGGAAAAGGAGAAGACAAAGAATTATTCTCTACATCGAGCAGCATTATTGAACCCCCTCCCTTTCAGCATCACTGTACTCTACCCATTTTAACTATCTGACAATTTTGAAAGTCTCAAAAGTATTTATGAACTTTGGTGGACCAGGGGTTTGCCAAGGCGTTGACAGTGGGGCTGGGCCTCACCTCTTTAGAAGATTTGCATCTTCCTTCTGTGATAGGCAAGAAATATTTGCCGCCAAAAGTAAAACAAAAATGCAGGTCGATCTCACACTCACTGCACCCTGAAGCCAATAGATCAAAAGATGTTCTCTGAAACCTGTTACAAAACATCCGCTTTCTGCCGCTGCCGTTCCTGTGAGCTATAGAAACACCAAGAAACAACTGGGGTGGGAAGGGTGGCTGGGAATTCTTCCTTATATTTATATAAATATATATATATTTTGCTGATGCAGTATACAGAATGTGTATACATATATATGTATATGTATATATACAGAGTCAGTCACACACAAACACACATGCACACACAAGCTCCTGGACGAGAATTCTTGAGCGCTTTTGCTAGCAAAAACACTGTGGTGTGCAGAAACTAGTACTTGATAGGAAAAAACAAAAAAAAAAAAAACAAAGCCATTTCTCTGAAGGCCGCATAACTGGGGAAGTCTTCAGTTTACCTCATTCTTTGTAGCAGCCCTTGGTTTTAACAGGTTTTTTGTAATAGGTACAAACAACTCCATGCCTTTCTAGGTGCAATTTTAAGTTAAGCTAAGAGGTGTTTTTTTTTTTCTTTGTACGGTAATTTATTTGTATATTGGGGTAGAAGGCAAGATCATGTCATAGTTTTAAAAAGTTTGACCCCAGTGATGGGACATTACACTACTTAAATTATGAGCAATGGTTGTGTTACAGAATAGCCCCCCTCTCTCCCCCCACTCCTTTTTGGCTTTGTCTGTTACATTGATACAAATTTCTGCACAGGAAAATCTGATGCAAGATATGTCGGTTTGGCTGTAATGTGAGCTGCATGGCTGGGGAGCAAAAGAGGACGAATCCCTCTTTCATTTGCAAGTATCAAATATTAATGCTTGCGAGTGGCCGTGTTACCACAACAAAAGCAACTTGCTGATCTAGTGTCCCCATGTCTGGTCTGGTGGTCCACACATCAGACATGGGTGTTTGCTATTGGGGGCCTTCGCAACGCATCACATTGTCTCCCAGTTGTGTTTTCTCCGAGTGTAGCATTGCATTCCTCACTCAGTTATAGGGCTACCTGCTGGTTTCTCTGGTCAAGGGCCTACCCAAGGTGAACAGCGGTCTGCAGCAGCCAGAAGGAAGACCCTGAGCAGCAGCCATTCTCTGTAACATGCTGGACAGCTCTGCTTGTCTTCCTTGTTGTGAATAAGCCATCGACATCGACATTCCTTGACCAGTCTTGCTCGCCCTGGCAGCTGCAGTCTGTATACGGTTCTTGCTAGTGTGTGGGCCTTGGCAGATGCCCAGAAGTCCAGCCCTCGGTGCCAGTCTTGCTTAGCTAAATGTCTTCTGCTGAATAGATGTGGTAGGTGCTCAGTGTAATCTCTTTTTGAACAAAAATGTAGTTTGGAAGAATTTGGACCTCGAAATAGTGTCAAACACTAGCCTCCAGTTCCTTATTACAACAATTCCTTTAGCAATTAAGGAAAGGTGGTTGGGGAGTAACTGTAGCCCATAAGATGGGCCATTGCCACCTACCAGAATGAAACAACCAGCTGCTGCATATCTTTTGGACCTGGTTTGGAATTCACTATGGTCTCCATGGAATAATGTAGAATTGCTGGTGTGGCAGCAGCTGATGCTAGGATTAGGCATTAAGGGAGCTGAGAGATTCTGATCCATTTTGGTATGCAAATACAATGTATGGTATAAAAACTGGGGGTCTCTGTGGTTCCGAATGGTCAATAACCTTCAAATTATGCAAACTTTCCCATTGTAGTATTGCTATACAGCAAGAGACTAACTTGATTATGTCTTTCAGCTTTCCCCAGTCTGGTGTCCTCCAGAAGTGTTGGATTACAACTCCTAGCATCCCCCAGCCATAATGCTGAGAATTAAAGTCAGACCTTTTTGGAAGGTGCCAGTTTAGGGAAGTCTGATGCATTGGAATCTCTTCTCCATTGAACTTATCAAAGATTGTGAATTTTTTCTCCCTCTGGAATATGTGACACTATTTTTTTTCCTGGCATGTTTGATAGTGAAACACATAATCTCTTCACTCAGCAGGCTGAGGAGTTCTCGCAAAAGTACTTAGGAGTGCTAAGAGGTTTTAGTAGTTTTCTTAAGATATACCCTTGTCTGAATTTTCTGGGTTTGGTTTTGAACAATTGCTTTTAAAAATTGTGCTATGTTGGAAAGATTAGATCTTAATAGGATGTTACTGACCAAAGCTCTAAGCTTTGATGTGAATTTCTAATTTGAGGATTTGCTATTTAACACAGATGAGTAAGCTGATAAAACGTTTTGACTTCTCTGTCCTCTGGAGAGCAATTGAATGCATTGCAGCTGCCCAGTCCCTTTACTGCTTAAAACTGCAACAAGAAAACCAACTTTCTCTCCTAAAGTTGATACGGGATAATTCAGAGGTGATGGTTTTTCCTGGAATTCTTTTCCCTGGTCAGCATTCACTTGCCAATACTGTTCCTACCTCTGCTCCTATGCTTTTAATGGCAGCTTTTATAAGTTTGCCCAGATCAATGCTGTGTATCTGGCTGGTGTTTGGAGACACAGGAGCAGGATCTGCTGAGAACAAGAAAAGAAAAACTGGTAATTCCTAGCCTTCTGCAGCATTCATCTGCCCACTTCTGGCCTTTCTGTGAGTGCATAGTTCATACTATGGCCTTCCGTTTTGTCTAGTTTGATGCAATGGCTGTTCTGAGAACAGGAAGCTGAGAACATGAACTTACTTAGGTGGGCATGTGATTTTTGGTGGAGCTGTGCTCTCTACAGTGAGATCACTTATCTCCTCTGAACCTTTCTGTATGTGCATTTTCCTCCCCATGCATGCACATACATACACCAATCTGTCTCTTACCAAGCACTACTGGCACATCCCGCAGAGATGAGAACTTGCCCTCCTATTCAAGATTCAGTCTCATTCTATCTTAGAAGCTCACACTAGTGGCAAAACTCATCTAAGGATTACAGTATTGGTGCTCAGGCAAAAAATGTGCATTCTTTTTTCCCCCGCAACTGTTCCATCCCCATCTCAGAAGGGGAAAAAAAGTTTTCCGAAGCTTAAATCTTCTGGCCCGTTTACTTAATGTTGAAAACACATGTGCAGCACAATGTTGCTAAATTTATTTTAGACCAAAATAATCACTCAAAGACAGTGAGAGCTCCCTAAATACCATGTGTAAGTTCTAGGACTAGTTTCCTTATGGAATTGTAAAAATGGGATTCATTTGTCAAGAGGGGGCTTTGAATGGGAGAAGCAGAAGCCTTGACATACACCTGTGGGTAAACATGCCCCCTCCCACAGCCCTTATCAATAGCCTCAAAGTCTCAAGTCTTTTCTACAGTTCCTGCTTTTCAGGAGCAGCCTTCACTTTTAAATTGAACTGACACTGTTGCTAACTTGGTTGAAAGACTTGTACTCCTAAGGCTAAACAGAGAGTCTGGAGGCCAAAGGAAAATTAGGAGGAATCCGAGCCAGATAATCCAAAATGTATTAAGAAGAGCAGCCCCCAAAAGAGCCAGCCACACCCCACCGATGTGCACACAAGGAAAGGGGGGGGGTTCTCTAAGTGACATTCTTGCCAGAAGCTCCACCACAGGAGAATTGCATCCCCTCCCACCAAAAAATACCATACGGCAACATTTTTTCCTATGGCTAACTATAACTGGAAGAGAATATTGCCCATGTCAAACTGTGATCCCACTTACATTGGTCTGTGGTGGTAATACATTCACTGGTAATTCATTCACTGGGATCAAGCTCCGCAAACGGGAGTTTGACTAACCCACAGGCATTTGTGAAACCACGATAGCGCCAGCTAGCAGAATGCATAGATATTTGGCTTTTCCGTTGGTGTACCTTGAAATTAAATTGTTTTGGTCTTGGGTAAGGGGTGGGCTGGGAGTGATCTTGTAACTACAAAAAGAGGTGGGAGGGAGAGAGAATCCACAGTTGCTTTTAATAAAGTCACAGAGTGCAGTATTAATTTATAGCAGAAAAACATATCTTGTAAACTGTATATAAAACACAGTTTTATGGTGCAATTGTTCGTCAGCCTTTTGTCTGTTATGTTGGGGAGGGGGGATTTGATGTGTACGCATTTTTCTCATACCTAAGAGCATCATGCTGAAACTGCAAAGGAATCGTTACTGCTTCTGTTCATGCAAAGGTTCTTTTAGGGAAAAAAACCCCCCGCTTCCAGGCTTTTTAATAAATACCTGTGCCCTTAATTTGGTTTGGCGTGTGTAACTCTTTTTGTCCAAGGATAGGGTGAGTGTTCACATGAAGCCTTTTTAAAACTCTGCCAGCTTTATAGCAGCTCATTTGTATTAATTCAAACACTGCACTGCTATTTCATGAACCCCCCCCCGCCCCCTTCCAAGTTTTGATGTCCTAGTATGCAGAATTCTCTTAACACCCTCATTCTGGGTAAATTAAGTTCTTTCTGCAATCATGTTGACAGGCTTGTGGTAACCTTGTATTGCTCCTTGTCTCTGTGGCCAATGCATTTCACACTGAGGTTTTTTTTCCCCTTTCCTGTTGAAATGTTTGCAGTGTCATTTCTCTCAAAACAGACCTGGATTTCTGGTTCCTTTCAATATGTTATTCTGCCAGATGCAGCCCCTTGTTTCTGGTGTCTGTATGAGAAGTCTTAAAGCTTTGGCCTGGCTTTGCGAATTTAACATTGCCGAATTATGCCTGAACTCCAACTGCAGGAGTTAGGAATCAGGGTTCTTTTTCCATCCAGTTTGCTTTTAACAGATTCAGAAACACAGCAAAAGCTTAGTCCTCACCTACACCCACATAAGTGTATTTAAATGGCTGTTTGGTCTGCTGTTAAATTTATAAAACCTTGTGAAGGATATAAAAGGATGAAGGAAATGGCATTTTAACGGAGGTTTTTCTACCTAGGAGCAGCTGGTTGTTGTGTCCCTATTCCAAGGTATTTAAAACTTTGGCCTCAAGGTGTTTTTTTTCTGGTGGCTTTTTTCTTCCTTTGCCTGTGCCCACTCCTTCCACTGCACTCCCACCATCCTGCAGCTGTTACGAATTATTTTCTAATTGGTTAGACCTTTTTTTGCAATTAATTTCCAAACAAATTGTTAATACAAACTGTATAAAATGAACATAATTTTCTTCACTTGTATTTTTGTTATTGAGCAAGTTTATCAAAAATAAATTGTCTACTTAAAAACATGGATTGGGTGTTGTCATTGGTATTGATACTGTTACTATTTTAGAAGATGCTGCTGAATCGCATGGCAAGGACATGCTCAGATGGAAAACGTCCACTGCAGGTAGGTTGTCTGAATGGAGAAAACACCCATGAAGGAAGCACAGAGCATCTGGCTCGTCAGACTCATCAGCCGCACCCAGTATGGCCTGTGATCAGAACAAATGGGATTGGGAAGCTCAGTAACATCTGGTTTTATACAGGACTTGGAGAAAGCTATTTCTGGACTCAGGTAAATGCACTATATTAACCCTTTAGTGCCTAAGTGGCCTGAGACCCCTTTATTCCAAGGCTCTTCTTCCAGCCAGGTGGAAAACAGGGGTGAAGTCCTTAACATGGATGGGAAACCTGTAACCTGTGAGCATCACAGAGCATGTGGGAGGTCAGCACCTGGTGAGTTACACATGCCTTCCAGCTCTATTGCTGATGAGAAAAGGCCTGTTTTATTTTCTTGTCCTACATTTGGGTTTGTTTAAAGGCCTGATATGAAGGTGAGGGGTTTTCAGGAGGGGAGAACTGAGTTGTCCAGTGGAGTTATTTAAAGCTCTACTGCAGGGGAGTGTGAGTGAGGGTGATGGCAAAGGCAGCTTGGATCTCAGCTAAAAATTCAGCAAGGAATTGGGTGAGGTTGGTAGGAGTGGTATAGTCCTCCTAGGACCATAATACTTTCAGAGCATCTTTCAGAGCAGGGGAGGTTGTTTAAAAAAGAACAACTGAAAGCACAATACACCTTCTCTTGAAGGGTGGGGAGCCCGAGTGCAGACAAATCTGCTGAAAATGCCTCCACTTGGCTGTTACACTGAGTAATTTCATTGCGTGCTTCTCGTGATGTCGGGCAGGCCTAGCGGTGTGTGAGCGCCTTCTCCCGAGATCTGCTAAGCAGGCCTTTTGCTGTGGTTATTTCAAGTCCCCCCCCCTCCCTGGGTTACAATGGTCGCTTCCGTTGCCACTGGCAACAGCAACGCAGTTCAGCTTCATTGAGTGGTGCTCCTCGCCCTGTCAGGCCCGATGGAGGCGGGTGACAGGCTGGGTCGTCGCTGGTGAGTCCCCAGTCTTAAGGGAGGACCACCAGGAAAGCCTTCGGGGCCCGATCCGGAAGGGTGCAAGGGTATGAAGCGCTGGCCATGCTCTGAAGGTGCAGCACAGGGATTGATTGGAGCAAGCACAGTCGGGGCTTCGGCCTGGAGCTGGTTTTGAGGAGCAGCAAAGGTAGGGATTCCAGAGGAGTTTGTTCAGCTCATATTTTAAAGCAAACTTTATTTTGCACTTTTGAAACAGTAAATTTCCTCGGAATTTTTCACTGGAATTCTCCAGTAAAAAAATGCATTGAAGATGCACCTGTTTGCTGAAATCGACTATGACAAGACATTGTGTTAGGCTTGCAAAAATGTAGATCAGACCAAAATGCATGGATTAGGAGAAATGTTCAGCTTTCTGCGAACACTAAAAATATCTCAAAGTTCTGAATGAATGGAATTTAAGATTGGAAGTAAGAGAAACTGAGCGGAAGCAAAGCGTTCCTTCAACGCTAGTGCTGAGCATGTCCCCAAACATATGTAGAAATGCTTTGCTGCCATTGCTTTGTATGGGGTGTTGCTAGGCACGGAAATTATTCACTACCCAGGCCCATAGAACCAAGATCTATGTAAACATTGCATATGGCCATACATGTACATTCATACACAGAAAGAATTACTTAAGTTTATTTAAATATCACAGGAGGCGAAGCCAGCCAGTAAATTTTTCACCCAAATCCTCTCTAAATAAGTTATCTAATTAATTTACACTGTGCTCCAGATTTCCCCCCTAGTGCGATGCAGGAAGAGATTTGGAGTGGATTGGTGGAAGCCGCAGCAGGTGGGGAGGGCAGGCCCAACCCTTCCCACTCTGGCTGCCATCACCTTTGCAAATCCCCTTTTGCTTAACTGTAAAGCTATGGTTATCCCAGTTGCAATGAATGGCTGTGAAAGCTGGACCATAAGGAAGGCTGAGCGCCGAAGGATTGAGGCCTTTGAATTGTGGTGCTGGAGGAGACTCCTGCGAGTCCCTTGGACTGCAAAGAGATCAAACCAGTCATTCCTAGAGGAGATCAACCCTGACTACTCTTTAGAAGGCCAGATACTCAAGATGAAACTCAAATACTTTGGCCACCTAATGAGAAGGAAGGACTCCCTGGAGAAGAGCCTGACACTGGGAACGATTGAAGGCAAAAGAAAAAGGGGACGGCAGAGGATGAGGTGGCTGGATAGAGTCACTGGGGCAGTGGGTGTGGGCTTGAGTGGACTCTGATGGATGGTGGTGGACTGTTGTCCATGGGGTTGTGATGGGCTGAGCACAACTTTGCGACTAAGTAACAACAAAGAGCTAAGAAAGAAACTTTCCATTGGCACAAATGGACTCTCAGGGCTCTGGATGATCTATTCAGGACAAGGCTGGTTCTGGCTTTTTGAGGACTCTTGGGCATGGCACCTCCTTTGGAGAGAGGGACTCCATCTGTGAATCTTGAGTGGACTCCATCTTTTGCCCCCTCATCCTCTTTCTTCTCATCACAGTTGCTTGCTTGCTAGGGAGAGAGCCAGTGGCCGAGTGTGACGCTTAGAATTTTCTCCAGCCAGAAAAGCTCTGGATCAGGGAGAGTTTATGCGAGACCTTTTGGAATGCTGAGATAAGGAAAGCACTAGATCTGGAGGGAAAGTAGTGAAACTTCATTGACTAAATTAAAACTAGAAAGACGTTAACTTGCTCTGCAAAATAACACCACAAGAGGGAGTCGCCGCAGACAGCAGGGGCGAGAGTAGAGTCCTTAGGCTTCAGGCAGGAGCAATTGCAGGCACATGCATGTCATGAGGTATACCTGAAACAATGTTGGTCCATGGTCCAAGATGCCCTTGCAGCAAGTTCAGGGCATCTTAACTTGGTTTTAGTCCTGCACCTGACCAGCCACTTATCATGGACAGCAACCAACAGGATCACAGAGAACCGGAGGTGTTCCCAATGATGGTACGAAATAATGCGGAGTCACCAATTCCTTTCATGGAGGAAACCCAGTAGGAGCTTCCCTGCTGCTTAGGATCAGAACTGACAAGTGGGAGGACCATCCCTCGTGACCTGGTGTCTGCACACCTTTTGTGGCACTAGCGTTCACGGTTCCTTTAAAAGAAAGGCCGCAGATCCACTGCCTCTTAAAGAAAAAGATGTAGACCTGAGGTCCATCAGATCTGGGTGTACACTCTGTAGCCTGCCCCTTCTGGGTCCTCAATCCAGCTTCTATTGAGAGAAAGCAAGGGCTTTAATTTCTTACACCCAGCTCAAACTTGCAGAGGAAGAGTGTCATATGTAGGTGTATCAGGAGGGAGAGAGATGTGCCCTTATACACTAGATCCTCCGCTGTCGCCTTTGAAGTGTCTTCTGGGATGGCGCCGTTCTGTTGCTTCAGAGGGTCCTTGTAGTTGCCCTGAATTGTTGGTCGCATATGGCAAAAACAGTCCCATCCAGAATTTGTTTCCTGGGACAGGATATACTTCAAAGCATGACTCCGACACCAAGCACCTTATTGGTATCTTTTGATGTGTCTGTCTGTCCAGCTTTCTAAGAATTCACAACTGTCATCCTCTGCCCTCTCTGTGAGGCTGACTTTTCCTCTTGGAATCCATCCATTTGTGTTTTTTATCTGACCCATTTCCTCCTCCTCTGTAGAGGAAAAGCCATTTACTCTCTTTTTGCACCTTCCTCGGCATGTACGAATGTTTACAAATACAGAGGAAGAAACAGAGCTGACAGCCTCGCTCTGCTAATTGCAACAATTCTGTGGAGTGACAACAAATATCCGACTTCCCACTGGGACCTTGCAGAGTTTGAGATGAGAAAAGACAACATCTTGCAAACATCCACTGAGCTGACACAGCAGTCCGTCTTACTTAAATCTTATACCAAAGAACAAACATGGTAACAGGCATGACCAATGTTACACATAAAACCATTCTGTCTGTGCCCAGCCGTGGCCCTTGTCCGTATTTAATGATCAGAGTTTCATCAAATCACACAAGAAGAAAATGAGTCAAAAATTATTATTATTACTGAGAATGTTCAACACGCTGTCTTTTTGTCTTAAATATGAATTGTATCAAGTTACAGGTAAGTAGTTCCCTCTATTGCTCCTCTATTACTTCCGTTGACCAGCCAGAGCAAGAGGAAGTTTGCCTTGATGAAGAGGAGGAATGAAGCCACGGTGTTCTTTTCAATGGAACCCTGGTAGGATGTGAGCCTTTGGCCAATGTCTGCTATGCCTGCCTTTGAAACTGGCCTTGATGTGAAGTCCTGAAATCAGTTTGGGTCCTGGGTCCAGGCGTAGTAACACTAAGTTGTCCCCATGGATCCGGTACCTGCCACACACCTGGTGTCAGGACAGCTGTTGAGGTGTAAGCATCATTCCACAATTTTGAGAGGGAGGGAAGTATCTTTCAATATGTCTTCTTCCATCTCTGGATGTTACATTGCCACCTGCTGGGGCCAGCTTTAGTTGGAGCAAAGCGTCCTCTTATGCTGGCGGTGGTGGTAGCCTAGGAAGCAGTGGTAGAGGTTGGGTCTAACCAGCTTCTGTTTCCCATAATGCCCTGGAGTGGCTCCAAGACAAGGGCCTTGTGGGTAAAAGCATGGCTAGTCCCAGATGCCCGGTGGTACTTGGACATGCTGGACTGAGGAAGCAAAGCTGGGACCCTGGAAACTGCTCAAGGATATCCAGTGCCAACCAACCCTGGTTACTTGTGCTACTTTCCATGTTACGGTGATCCATTCCAGGTTCATAGGTATTCTTGGGTTCCTCCCAGTATTCTGCTGCAACCAATCATGCAGCCACCCCTAAAACACAAAAGGAGCTTGTACAGATTCTTGCCCCTCTGTCCTAATCTCATGCATCATTTTTATCCATATTAATCGCACAGCAAGGTATATGTTGAAAATCAGCTGGAAGAAAATTGTTTCTCCGGTAGTTATAGCTTGTAATTTCATATATATTAATTGGAGCCGGACACCAGCAGTAATAAATTATTTGCTACGTATGTTTGTACGTCTCTGAATGGGGTTAATGCTCCTAGCTGTCAGTTTCTAGCTTTCTCTTCTCAGCAGCAGCAGATCTGTCTGTGCTCAAGGTCAAATTCTGAGGAAGGATTCTGAAGGTCTCAAAAGGCTTTTCCAAAGTTTGGATGCTCCTAACATCATAGCTTTTGGATCGTTCACCCCTATGAACCAACATGGCTATCCACTTTGAATAATCTTGCATTCAACATACCCAGAGAATATATGACCTGAAACACAGTATGATTTGTTTAACCAATTTTTGGAGTGATGTATGCTTTTATTTCTCCATTCTCATTAACCTCTATATTTTTATTTACCAAGCCAAACTCCTACCTGGTGTCATTATTATGAGTTGCCTCTGACTTGGGGTGATCCTATTAATGAAGCCCTTCCGAGATGCCCTGTCCTTGGCAGCTCTGCTCAGTGCTTGTAAACTCAAGGCTGTGACTTTATGGACTTCATCCACCTCCCAGTTGGTCCTCCTCCTGCCTTCGACTTCCCCTGGCATGATTGTCTTCTCCAGGGAGTTTTGCCTTCTCATGCTCTGCCCAAAGTACGACAGCCTGAATTTCAAGCTCCTGTCTAGTGATCAAAATTAGTAAGAATTTCATTATATAATACTTGGCATTTATGAATGACATAAACACCCATTTCTCTTTTGAATAAGATCAGTAAGTTTGCCTGGCATCTCCCAGAAGCCCAATTCCCCCAACCCTACCAATTTCCCCAAATCGCCAAGCAGCTGGAGCTTTGACAGCTCTCGCATGGCTCTATTTTTCCTGCTCTTTTATTTTGTGATACTTTTACAAAGCTTCATAAATGGCAATCAGAACTGTAAATTTAAAATATGCTGCTATTTTTGCCCTGCCCCTTTTGCCTTTGGCCCCACCCACAACCACCCAAATTCTCCAACATCCAGTTCATCCCCTGGGCTGAAAGCATTTGGACACCTATGTCCAAGGTTTTCATTGATGGTAAATTCTGAGCTTTCCAGTGCCTGATAAAAGTGGCCTCATTTATTTATTCGATTTATATCCCACCTTTTTCTTTTTAAAGAACTCAAAGCAACTGACATCATCTCCTGCTGCTGCTCTTGGTCTTATTCCCACAAAAACAACCCTGTGAGGTAGGTTGGGCTGAGAATCTGTGACTGCCCAAGATCACCCCGTTGGCCCCATGGCTGCAACGGGAGTAGAACCCAGACCGCCCAAGTCCCAGTCCCACAGAGTTAGCCACTATACCATGCTGGCTCTCTTAGCAGAGATCGACACATTCAAACTTCATGAGAAGGCCCAAAGCAACAGAGGTCTCTGTTCAAAACTGGATGGTTTTCTTCTTCAGCGTTGTGCTGGCCTGCTTAACAATAACAGTTTTGTAAGAAGATGGAGAAGGTGGGTGGGAGAAAGGATCAGTTGAACCAGGCAGCAAGACACCAACTGATCTTTCAGAAAGCCTTAAAAAGAAAAGGTAGATGCTATTTTATGCCAACAGAGAAATCAAAATGCAGCAGCGGCTGATTAATGAGCACAGGACCGGTTTGCTAAGAAAGATGTTGCATTCTTTGTTTGAAAGTCACGTCTCCTTTTCTTAAAATTAATAATAGAAGATCCTGAATCGCACAGAAACAGAGAACATGGCACAATTTCTGGACAATGAAAAGTTCTTGACAAATGTGAGGTAAGATTTGTGTGACCTTAGGGCATTACAAGGAATGTAAACATCCTCTTAATAGCTGGAACAGTCTCATCTCTTTATTTTACCACTGGTGTTCCCTGAATTGTTTCCATTCAAACTGAGGCTCGTATAAACAATAAACTTTAAAATTTAGTGCCTGAGCCACCTGCATGTTTGCAATCCACTTTAATGTTAACCTGTGCACACTATTTTATAAAATTAAGATGCTTTATAAATCAGTCAGTGACAACAATACACTATAGATCAGTTCCAAGGACCAAAGTAATTTGAATCATAACATGATTGGTGTAGCACTTGAAAGATTTGGCATACATTATCTTGGTTATCTTTAGAATACTATTATAAAGTAGGTCATTATTGCAGCTTTAATAGGCAGAGAATAGCTTTCCTTATGGGCTATCTGTTGTGTTCGCAGCAAAAGAGGTGACATTGAAACCAAGTCTTTCCTGAGTTGGAACTCGGCTCGCTGCAGTGCAATATACGTAACCGCATTGAGTTCAGTGGGCCTTACCTGTACAATTGCAACTTGACCCCTTTGCCAGGCAACTTCGAAATGCAGGGCTTGCTCTTCCATTCAGCTGAGTGAGTCAGCCACTTCTAGAGCAGATGCTGGTGGCAATAAGGTCTTGGAGAACAGAGTGTGGGTCAAGTGGCCTTTGCTGTGCCCCCTAAGTTAGCCTCCTCCCCCACAGGTGTGGAGGATGCAGTCTCCTTACCAGTGTGGAAGAAGAAACCAGCTGCCAGTACAATCTACCTGATAGAATCACTGTTGTTGTTGCTCTGAACTGCCAAGGAAACTCCAACGTATGGTCTCTTTCAAGGAAAGCCCTCCAGAATGTCCTGTCCATGACAGCCCTGCTTAGCTGTTCTAAGTTCAAGGTGGTGACTTCCTTGATGGAGTCCATTCATCTCTTGCTTGGTTTGCTTTGACTTTCCCTAAATGCTTGTTTCCTTCAGTGAGTCTTGTCTTCTCAGTATGTGTCACAGAATCATAGAAGGGCAGAGTTGGAAGGGGCCAAGAAGGCCACTGGGTTCAACCCCCAGCTCAGTGCAGGACTCTGTGCTAAATCATCTCTCTTAGATGGCTGTCCAGTTGCACCTTGACTAGTCCCTCTAATGTGGGACTTTTTCTCCCCATCTTCCCATCTCAAGGTTAAACACGCCCAATTCTTTTAATCTCTCTACCTAGGGCTTTCTTTCCAGCCCCCGATCATCATTGCTGCTCTCCTCTGAACCTTTGGCCAATCCAGTGCTCTAAGCACTACACCACCCTGGACATGCTGAGAGTTCTAAGACCTTTTTAAATCCTAAACATTCACAGAATTGCCCCTTAAGTCTTTAAGGTATCAAAGACTCTAGTTATTTTTGCTGCAGGGGACTAACATGGATTCTCTTCTGGAAATGTCTGCACAAAATCCCTTTTTTGCAGCAAGCGTTCAGGACGACGAACCACCTTGCCAAATAGGTGCAGATCTTGGCAGAACATTTCTGTGACTGATTTCGAAGAGGATAATGGATTGTTGGTTACTAATATCAACCAGACAGCAGATATACTGGTAAGTCAGTATTTGTGTTGGATGGAACTAAGCGTAGGTATAACTAACAGATCGTACCTTTTGGGGTGTACAACCTGCGAATGTGAATAGGATTCCTGGAGCAGAAGCATCCTACCTGGAGGAGTGCCTTTTGTGACGAATCGTATGCAACGGCCTGGCTGGTAAAAACTGCCAATCAGAGGCTGGCCAGTTAGTTGGTGAACATTGTTAAAGTACAATCCTCTTTTAGATAACTCAGTGCTGACCAATCATCATCTAATCACAAATATTCCACATTGGCATAAGTTGCTCAGGCATGTGGTCCCACCTTTCTGGATACAGGCAATGTGGCAGATTAGAGACCAAAGGACTGGTCCATTGTTAGAACCTCTCCATTTAGGCCAGGGACGCAAACAGAACTCTTATGTCCAAGGTGGAGGAGTGTCTTTTGTGATGAATTAGCTGGAATGACATATTATGCTGCTCCTTCCTCTGCATTTGATGTCTAATTCTGGGCTCTCTAATGCCTGCCCTCTCCACTCCCTCCTCCTCTTTGCTCTGGCTTAGTGTTCCTCTGATTTTGAAATGGCCTGCTGGACCATCAGCCCTATTCCCACCTATCTCCAGCTTCTGTGACCTCGACCGTGTCTGTGACCCAATCCGTTCCCCAGGGATCCTCCGTGACTCCACTCCTTTCCCCATAGTCCCCCTTTCACCGCCATCGCTCCAGATTCCTACTTGCTGGCCACCTGCTCTGGAAGATCAATGGGCAAGTGCAACTCGGCTGCTGCTTCGCTCAGTGGTGGGCTTCATGGTGCCCTCCTTCCATGGGACACTTTCCCACAGTGACACGAAGGGCCCTTTTGCTTGAGTTTGTCCTGCAGTGGCCATCCCAGAAGGCTGGTCCAGGCATCCTGGCCTAGCTTGTCAAACTGTGGCTTGCAGTTCTTGCTAAGACGTAGGCCTTCCTGTCCACATGCTCTCCACCTCCAAACCAAACATAGAAAAAGGCCCTTCCTTACTTTAAACTTGCATTCCTCTCCATTTGTCGACAGAGGCTTAAGAACACAGCCGTGTTGTTTGCTGGATTAAAAGCTGCTGACGGATGGTTTCAAGTCCATGGCTTAGAAAACATGCATCTCACATTAGATGATCTCATCAAGAAAAGCACCCTTGTGCAGTAAGTAGGCGGCCACCTCATTTCGGGAGGGCCGTGTCTGCCCCGTTCCTTCATCTTTCAATGTTTCCTTTTAGGAATGCAAGTGATGGGACAGAACATATTGAATTTACGAAGGAGGTCATTTACGATTTTGAATCTCAGCTGCGAGAGTAAGTGCCCTATTACATGTTCTTTCTCCAGTTTGCATCTTCTCAGTGATCCCATCCAGAACCCAGAAAACTGCCTTAGGCCAAATTTGGCTGCTTATCTACTTAAGCCCAGCCTTACCCAATGGGTGCTTTGAACTGTGTTTACTGAGGTGGAAGCCAGGAAAGTGAGAACCCATGGCGGGGGGGGGGGGGGGGCTGCTTTCAACTTTTTACCTCCCACATCTAAATGACCATTTGTATTGCTGTCCAGGACACTTTTTCCAAATGTCAGATGTGGCGGAGAGCGTGGTTGGCATGCAGAAGGAGCTTGGCATCAGTCCTTGGCATCACTGTGTCTTAAAATCTCATTTACCAAGTTCTGCCAACTAATTCTGGCTAAGATGCCACAGCAAGGCTGCCTGCACTCAGCCAGATGGACCCATTCAGGATACTCTTAGTATTGTCACACCGAACTATTAATTAGACCAGGGAACGCCGTGCCTTTTGAATTGCAGCTCCCACAATCCCACCAGGTTGATACATCATTTATGCGGTGTACTTCATCCTCAGCACTTGCCCTTGTTTTTCCCCCCACAGGATTATTGATATGTACGACAAAAGGATTCAGTGGTTGTTGCAGGACAGCAGAAAGGTAGTGTGCACCTTATAAAACCTGTTACAAATTTCAAACATGATGATAGAACCATTGTGTTTTCAAATTGTTCTATACACGATTCCATTTTGTTTCACTGTGTACAGAACCAATGTGTTTTCGATTCATATGTGAAGCAAGAGGTTTTACAGGCAGGGAACTGGATCGCACACCATGGCAGAATTTAGCTGCAGGGCCACTCCGGCTTGCTGTGTCATGTGAAACGGCTATCATGGGTTGTTCAAGGCAACTCTTAAATAGCCCTAAAACAAGCCCTGGGTTGTCTGACAGTTGTTTATCCCCTCAGACAATGAATGGCACTGGCTTCTCACAACATGGCAACCTATGAGCACCGCACTGCCTTTCTGTTCAAAGGGGAAGCCAGCCTTGGCTAAACCTTGCAGGGAAAGGAGCTCATGATGGCTTTAGCTTACAGAGGTGCAGTCCCAATGAAAGCAAAGTGCTTTTTCACTTCATTAACTTCTGGAACTCCTCTCTGTAGGAGATTGTCCTTGCGAGAAGTGCACATGGATTCTAGGTGAGCCGGTGGCAAACGTGAGCCACTCCTGTAGTCCTGCGGGCATCCTGGACCGCCAGGCAAGGGGCGATGGATGCTGACTCGGCATGCTGCTTGCCCACCCTCTTGCAGCCACTGGCTGGGCACTGCCAGTCTGCAGCCACTGGTTCAGTTCCTTCTCGTTTCTCCCCCTCCAGAAGTTTGGCATTATCCAAGGGAACTATGTTGGAGTTCTGATTGATGCCTCAGATGTAAGCTGTGCACCAAGATTGCATGACTTCCAAAGAGATCTTCTGGTAAATATGACTGATGCCAGAGCTGGTTCTTCACAACTGCGTTGCGGTGGTGCAGTGGGAAGTGTGTTGGACTGGAGTAACGAGAGGTTCTTCCTAGGCAGTCATGGGCAAATTCACTCCCTTTTCAAGTCTGCTAGCCCAGTATATTAAATAGCGTTCAAATGACCCGCACTCGCTTTTTAACTCATAAGTGAGCACACCAGTCCCTCACCACCTGTTTTCTGAAATTCAGCCCCGAGTGCATGCAAGAAAAGCTTTTCAACAGCCTCCAAAAGTACCATTAAGGACTTTTCCTCCTTCGCTTATTCCCTGTGCAGGGGGAGCAGGGCAAGCTTTAAAAGCCAGATAGTTGGGAGAGGGAGCTTTGGTGGCCCTCATCTGCATAAAAGTCTCACATGCTTACCTGGGAGCACAAAAGGAAGGAGGTCAGTTGTGCATCAGATGTTTAATATAACGTTGAGGTCGTTATCACTTGGCCTCTTTAATGCTTTCCAAGGGAGATACAACCTTATGAAACTTTTCTCAGAATCAGTCTTTACCGTGCCAATCTTTTTCCATTCAGTCCTTCCAATAGTCTCTTGCAAGTTAAATTCCCATATGTCAGCCTTCCCCAACCTCGTGCCTTCCAGACATGTTTGGCCTCCAACACCCAGAATCCCCAGACAACGGCTCTGCTGGGTGGGACTTCTGGGAGCAGCAGTCCACATGCCTCTGAAGGCTGGGGAAGGCTGCCATATGTTATTCTATAGGGTGTTTAAAAATGTGTTACACAAATAATTGCCAGATTTTGCTTCTGCCCTGAGAACAGAAAAGTGTGGGGTGGATTGGATTTTGAAGAGGGGTGAAGCTTTACATTCCCGCTGCAAGTGGGCATGAGCTTCTCTCGTTGCATCGCTTTCATTTTTCACCGCTTCTCATGCATTTGGGGATTCCAGTCTTTCCGCTGGTCTGCTTATCTGTTCACATCACAATTTTCACACGATCAGACAGAAGACAACTTTTTTTTTTAGACCATAACTTTCTGTTCGGTGACAAAAACAAGCGTGTGTTTGTTTTGTTCTTAAGTTGTTAATAGATAAGCAGCTGTGTTATATGAAGAAATTATATTTCCTTTCATTTGGGACAGAAGTTTCAGCTCTTTGGGAGAGGCCACAAGTGATCAGTGAGAATGTGTAAGTATATGGCTTAACTCCTAGATTTCTTCCTAGCTGAACTAGGCGCCCCTTCTTGCTTTTTAGGAATTGCGTGTTATTGTGCTTGTACTAATTATGCTGAAGGCCACCCTAAAAGGGGGCATTTATTAGGCAGCTTATAAAGAAATCCATAATGGGCTGGATCCAGACTTCTGAATCTTCAGCTGTTCCAGAGTGCAGTGGCCTTGCTGTTTACTGGAGCTGGTGACTAGAAATATGTGGCCCCTCTTTCATACTATATGCATTGGCCTTTTCTGGGGCAGGCCTTGAGTATCTCCACCCCTGACACCCAATCCTTGACGGTCTTTAAGTCGACAGTGAGAGCATTCTTACTCCACCTAGCTTTGAATAGGTTTGAAAATGCAGCTTTCAACTCTGCAGGCCTGTGATCGTAATGTATGAGTGCTTTTAGCTTCATGGTTGGTCATTCATAGAAAGTGCTGTCAGGGGGTGGGGCGTTTGGTTCATGAAGCAGGGGAAGAAAGCTCCCATCCTGGCTGCAGAAGCCTTCCCAGCTGCATCGCCAGACGTTGACGGCCATGCTAGCATGTGTGTTTTCTGTTACAGCTGTTTGGCTCGCTTCTAAGTGACATGTCTCAGGAGTGGAAAAAGTGCTCACGGAGATTCCACTGCGGGCACAGTCAAAAGAATGCTTACAGTGTATTCAGACATACAGGAAATACACGTGGCATGTAGACAGTCCTCAAAAGGGACTACCCACATGGAGTCTGGGCAAGAAGCTTTTATCACCTATCATTTACATACACAACTTGGAGGGGGGGGGGTGGGAGCAGGTCCGCAACACGCTATGAGACCAACACAGAAGGGTTGGATGGGAATTCTGACAACGCAATACAGAACAAAGCTTCAGGACAGGCGAACTGTTTGCATCTCTGAGAGTGTGCCTCCAAAGGACAAGCAAACATGAGCCTCTCTAAGGTGTATGTGGGGAGCAAGACTTGCAGCAAGGGCGCCTGAGCAGATCAGGAGTCCCACCTGAAGCTTAAAGCTGCTCGTACAGTGCCTGGCTTTTGGCAGCCCTATTACGGCAAAGCTTTTTCTCGCTTTGTCCTTACACATGCAATAGATTACACTTTCGTATATATTTTTCCTTCTAGTTTGCAAGAACTGAGGCTGTGGGTGCAGGAACTGAAACCCAGTGGAGGCTGCAATTTGCTGAAAGCTTTGAAGAAGGTCCTTGTTGTAAAAGAACTGGATTCACTGGTGATTATTGTAGGAAGCTGGTAGGTCACCTGCCTGAACTGATGGCAGACGCTGGTTTTGGCTGTTAAGGGCACCATCCTGCACATATATAGACAGAAGAAAAGGCCTGCAAGTCCAAATATGCTGGCCTTGGAGTGCTGGGAGGTGAAGGTTTTGTCTCTGTCCAAATAGGTATAGGATTGCACAGTGTGTCCCGAAAGAAGAAAATGCCAGCATCTTGCTCTGGGTTTGGTCATTCCCAAGATTATTTAGCAATCTCATGTTATGCTGCTCAGGGTGGCAAATGTAAGAAAACGCAGGCACAGAGTCACAGGCCCAGGACTAAATCTGGGTCTTTAGGAATCCCAGACTGGCCCTCCAAGACTCCCTAGAAATCCATACCCCAGGCTCTGATCACTCCCACCAACCCGCCATCATCAGATGGTTTCGGTTTTTGTGCACTTTTCCTGGAAAGCGGCCGCCATGAGCTTCCCCTAAACAGACAGTGGCCCTCAGGAGGAAAGGGCTTCAACAGCCCTGAAATAAACAATCTGGCTGTGAGCATCTTGATCCATGAATGTAATCAATCTTGATTTGGATTTGTGTTGGAAGAAGGCTCCTAGGGAGAAATTGATCATCACATTAAGAACACTCACCTGCACTAAAGACTTTGTAAGTGTTTTTGATTAGATTGATCAAGCCTTGAATGGATTCCCCCATTTGGTTGTTCCAAGCATTTGCTCTTTTTTCTGTTCTCCTCCTGAATTTCTGGCTAAGTGGCCATATTTCAATCAGATGGGCATTCCACTCTTGGCTTCACTTAGAACCAGACTCCTCTGTCTCCTTATCTCCTTGTTTATTGAGGGAGCCAAGGTTCCATTTGGAGGCCAGGAAGCACTTCCTGCCAGTCAGGACCCCGAGGGTGTGCAATGGGCTTCCACGGGAGGTCGTTGAGGCCCCCTCGGTGCAGGTGTTCAAGGACAGGCTGGACGTGCACATGGTGGGCATGTCGTGAGCGGAGCCGGCTGGTGCCAGAGGTCAGACCAGGTGGCCTGGGAGGCCCCTTCTGACTCGCTCTGTTTCTATGTTTCTATGTCTTCCCTTTCCTTATGCAATATTGATGTGTTGCTTTTACTTTTTTCTCCCTGCACCCTTTTTTCACCCCAAACCAGCCCGGATCAGGCTTCAGGAATCTTGTCTGATTATATCCAACAATGTACAGCAGGGAGAAAGCTCCTGATCCATACTGTTACGTATGATTGCAGCAGTCACGTGCCTCCTGTAAGTTTCCAAAGAGGGGAGATGGCGCATTGGCAACACACACATTTTGCAGGCAGGGGTCCACAAGTTCTTCACCCCTTTTGCCTGCAGCTAAAAAGGATTGGGTAGCAGATTCTGGGCTGATGTGCGTGACCAAACAAGCCACTGGCTACGTTTAGTCAGTACAGTGACCCGCACTCAGGGGTTGAGTATGCGTGGTTTAAACCATGGATGGTGATGGTGTGGTTAATAATAATAATAATAATAATAATAATAATAATAATAATTACAATAATAATTCTGAATTTTATTACCATACTTCCCAATAGCCAAAACTCTCTGGGTGGTGTACAGTTAATAAAACCCAATATAAAATATAGATATTGATAAAGGTGTCATATAAGATTTACCGCTCTTGGTTTCCTAAAGGTATCTGCGTCTTGTCTTTGCTCTTGATTTATGGCGTCCTGGTCATGAATGTTTAAACACTTGCTCTTGATTAGAACCAAGGACAACCAGGTTCTCATGAACCAACAAGTCACAGCAACTTTGATCTAAGCATGCACGGGACAATGTGCAAATGGATTCCACCACCCCATTTATTCATTAATTTACTTACATGTTTTTCTTTTTGCAAATGTGACATCTCTGGAAGTTGTTCTGTGCTCATTAATTTTCCTTGCCGCAATTCACACAGGCTGTTCTCAAGAGCTTGGCTGAAGAGGTGGGAGGCCGTTACCACTGCTATTCAACAAAGAGTGAGGTACAGCATGCCTTGTTGTTCACAGGGTTCCTATAAAAGTCTTATTTGTGTGGCTGGCAAATGGGTAGAAAGTTTGCCCATGAGCTTAAAACCTGCCGTCTGGTTCATGGGTCATCCTGAATGTTTGCATGGCTTTGAAAGTCTGAAAGTGGGACGTTTAAGGACTTCCATCTTCATGACAAGAACATAAGAGAATCCATGCTGTATCTGGTCCATCCAGTCTGTCACTCTGTTCACACAGTGGCAAACTGCTGGCCGTCATGATTTCCTGGGCCAGTGGATTCCATCATTTAATTCCGCAGGATGTGAAGAAATCCTTCCTTTGATCTGCCCGGTACCTCCCGTCTACCTTGCCCTGTATATTTCCGTCTCAAAGCAAGGAGATTCAAAGTGTATGGGAAACGTATTAATGTCACATCTGTCCTACCTGGAATCTAGGTAGGGAATCCTAAATATAGGGAATCTGGTACACCTTTACACCCTAATCACATTGGCTATCTCATATGCTTGGTGGCCTTGTGTAGATGGTCCAGGAGGGCTTGTCTTTATGGTACCAGCTCACAGATTCTCAGCCTAAACTACCTCACAGGGTTGTTCTGAGGATAAAATGGAGAGGAGGGTTTAGGTGGGCCTCCTTGGATTCCTTGCAAGTAAGAATGTGGGATAGAAACATAATAAATAAAATAGGTTAGATATGCATCTGCTTGGATATTTATTGTAAGCTGCCCAGAGAGCCCTTGGGCTATAGGGCAGCATAGAAATATAATAAATAAATACGACTTCTTAATCTGTTTGCGGTGGTGATACACCATCAGAATTGTGACAGCAACGATATTCAGTTGGTCCTTCTGGAACGCCAGAAAGCCACCAGTTTGCTCAACATCGTGAATGAAATCGCCCAGGGCAAGATGGATGACTTACTTTTCAATTTAATAAGAGAGGCAAGTATCCAATTCATTTAATTCTTGGATTTTATATTTTAAAGAGGCTACAGAATAACTGAAGTATATCTTTGAATCCTAGCTATTGATTCCTTGAGAACGTTGGCAAGAACAAAGTGTTTGTGGTGTGTAGCAGTTAGTGTTTAATGCCCTCATGACCTGGGTTCAAATCCCACTCAGGCACAATGCTTACTCACTAAGCTTCAGCCCATCACCGTCTCTCAGTTCAACCTACCTCATGGGATTGTTCTGAGGAAAAAATAGCAGCGGGGCAGGTCTATGAGGGAACCACAGGATAAAAAACATAATAAGATGAATAGGCTGGAAGGAAAACACCTGTGTGTGTGTGCGCACACTGAGTTTAAAGTCCTGTTAGCATTCCCATCAGCTGAATACTTGAAGGAGACCAAAAAATTCCAGTTTTTAGAGATGCAGTTGTAAATATTTCTCTTTAGGGTTCCATGGAGTGTTTGACACTTCCTGCAGAAAGCTGCATACTAAAACCTCCGAAGCATGAAAGTCTTCTTGCCATACAGATGCCCGGCCTTTTGGCAAAGACCTCAGCCGAGTGGCTCAGAACAAATGGGCTGAAAGGTAAAGCCATCCCAGAGGAACCGAGCCAAACCCCTGCTCGACCCAATCAAGTACATCAGGCTTCCTGCATCCTGGTGTGTCCAGACAGGCCTTATGTTGGAGTTCCTCCAACACGGGGGCCAAAGGATGTTGTAGTCCAACTGATCTGCAGGACACCAGGCTGGGGGAAGGATGACATAGGTCAGTGGTCACTTATTCTCCACTTTTGTTCACTGCAGCCAAGAAATTGAGCCTTTACCAAGTGTTGGCACCAAATGCCTTTTCCCCTGTGGAGGAATTTGTGCCTGTCCTTCAGAAAACGGTATCATCCACTTTGCATGAGGTAAGTGACTAAGACTAGTTCAAGGACTGTAGAGTTAGAAGGTGTCTGGTGAAATGATCCTGCTTCCCCCAGTGGGGCCAGTGAAGGGACCTTAGCTTTTGGACAGCAGAGAAACATGGCTATGAAGAGGAATCGTCATGGAGGCAGCGCCAGAGTCCATAAAGCACCTGGGTCAGTTCCAAGGCAACAAGTCACAAGCCAGGCACAGCAGGGAAATGGTTTAGGCAAAAAAGCAGTGAAATCCAAGCTAAAGTTACCGGTGTGGCGTAGTGGTTAAGAGCAGGGGACTGGGACTCAGATGATCTGGGTTCTAGTCCCCACTCAGCCATGGAGCCAACTGGGTGACTTTGGGCCAGCCACAGACTCTCAGCCCAACCTACCTCACAGGGTTGTTGTGGGGATAAGATAGAGGAGGAGATGTAAGCTGCCTTGAGCCCTTTGTAGGAAAAAGGCAGGATATAAATCGAAAAATAAATAAAAATAAATAAAAAAAAAGGAATCTAGGCTGGAGATAGTCAAATATAGGCACAGAGTGTGTCCAGACAGTACAACAACCCATCCTCAAGGGTTGACCATGGGTTGTTGTTGAAACATGACTTATTGTCTTGGCTGAAGCCATGACACTAACCAGGTTGTGGCTTCTGACACATCCATGAGGAAAATCCATGGTTTGTTCTTTGGTTCTGAATGATGGGTGACCTACCATGGTTTCTTATCTCAGCTGGTTCAGAGAATACAAGAGCCCATGTTTCAGCAACAGTCCACACCATCATTGCTTCCAGCAGCTCCCACAAGCTTCTCCTGAGCTTTTTCTCTGGAACTGCCAGAGTTCCATCCAAGTCTCCACCTCATGGGGAAGGCCCTCTGCTCATGAGCATTATGCCTGAATAGCTCTCTCTGCAGCTTGGCCCTTCATCAAGGTTGACTGGTGCTTCCTGGGAATTGGAGGCACTCAGCTTCCTCCTTTTGGGCAGATGCTTTCACTTCCTGAGGAGTTGGGGCCTCATTGGTCTTCTCCAAGGACTCTGGACCTTCCTGTGCTCTGGCAGGACCTTGGCGTCTTCTTCGTTGGGGACTCAAACTCTTCCTCCTTGGAGGAATCTTCCAGTGGGGCCACTGCACCCGGACCCCTGCCAGAAGAACAGAGCTAGAAATTCCTCCACCAATGGCTGCCCAGCTTCTGCTTGAAGGGCTCTAGTGAGGGACACCCCCACCCCACTCCTTCCTTGTTCCATTGCCAAACTGCTCTTCCTCTTAAGCACGCCCGTGCCGAAAGATCTGGGGATAAGTCCTGCAGGACACACAGCAAAGCATGCACTTGCAAAGTTGTCTCCCTCTGCACATATTCTAAAGTTTCTCTCCGTGCGAATGTAAAGGACTGTTTTCTAAGGATACCAGTATTTGTAAAAAAGGAATTTATGGACAGGGGAGAGGAGGGAGTTGGTTTAGGTAGAAAAATTCCAAAGCGGGGAAAGCCTGCTCATGCAGGGAGACCAGTAGCAGCAAAGATCACAAGGCCGTGTGCCTGCCTTTCAGCAAGTGCTCACGGGAACCGAGCAGTGGGGCTGATGGCTGCCCAAAGAGCAGGCCTTCAGCACCGGTGGGACACTTCTTAGCTCTACGTCTGCCATCAAGCGTTCTCCTCTCCCACAACACAAAAACACTCTGCTCCTTCCTTCAACATCCTGCCAGCAGGAAGAGCCACCCTCTGTTTTCTGGATGAAAGCTCCTGTCCAAATGAGGATCTTATAAAATATTCTCCTACCCTTCTAGAATGATGGGATTAATGTTGCATGTTCCTCTTCATTTCAGAAAGCCATGATGCAGTTTGAGTGGCACGACGGGACTGTTAAAAATGTTCACGTCGATCCGCCAATACTGTATGACTACCAGGTGAGCGAGAGACTTGTGGACCGGCCTGAGATCAGAGTAAATTCCATTCTTAATGAATTCAGGCCACGCTTTATTTTGCACTGCTCCTGAGCAGCAGAGGATGGACAGGCCAATAAATTGAGCAGCTTGCTGGTGCAATGTCACCAAGGCAGGGCAACACTTTCATGAGAGCAAGAGAAAATAGGGCAGTAAATGTTACTGCGAGCCAGAGGCTGTGCATAGATCACAGAGAGACAGGCAGGCAGGCGTCAATGTCCAAGAGGACCTTATGAAATTTACCCGTTTTTGATTCTGCTGCCTGCTGCTTCAGCTGCCTTTTCTGCTTCCACTGTCTGGAAGCAGCGCCCTCTGCACAAGTTGTGAAATCAGTGTCTTCCGTCTGGCTCATAGTCTCTCCTGCTGAACATCTGAGGTCAGAGCTCTGTTCCGACTTGGATCTGGAAATCCAGAAAATCCTATGGCCCCTGAGATGCTCTTTAGGGCCATAATGTTGCTCTGAGAGCGTAAGAACTCAAGAACATAAGGAAAGCTTGATAACCCAAAGGTCCATCTAGTCCAGCACTCTGTGCACACAGCTGGATCCCCCAGCAGGACGGGTGCCAGACCTCCTCCCACCCAGCTCCTCAGCAACTGGTGTGTGCAGGCAGGTGACCAGGGCAAGGAGGGAGCACATGGCCAGCAAGGCTAGTAGCCACGGATCGCCTCCTCCCACGTGGATCTGTCCAGTCCCCTTTCAAAGTCCTCCAGATTGGTGTCCATCACCACTTCCCGTGGCAGCAAATTCCGCAGTGTAACTATATACGTTGTATTTATTTATTTATTTGCCCTAGTTGCTCGGAGGGAAGAAAGCATATCCTTTTATGTGTCCAAAACCTCCCACCAATCAGCTTCATGGGATGCCCCTGAGTTCAAGTGTTACAGGAAAGCTTTTCCCCCTCCACCTCCTCCACACGGTGCATCATTTTAAACCCTCTCTCATGCCTGCCCTTCCTCTCCATTTTTCTACGCTGAGCAGTTCCAGGGGTCCTAGCCCCTCTTCCCAGGGGAACCCCCTGATAATTTCGTTGCCCTTCTCTGGACTCTTCCCAGCTGACATCTGGGGAGTCCTGCATTTTGGCCCCACCCCTTTTGCCTTGGATTCAAGGGCAGAAGTGCCCCATCTCACCTCTAGCCCCCAGGAGTTTCTCTGAAATGGCTCCTGGGCTCACTGTGCTTCTCCAGCCCTGATGCAGCCATTAACTTGCGGCACCGGCCGGGTCACACTCTGTCTGCAGAAGCGGCTCGGCAAGATGATGAGGATGTACGAGAGACGCGTCGACTGGCTCTCCAGGGCTAGTAGAAGAATGTGGGGCACAGTTTGTGAGAAAAGGTAGCCGTCTTTCGCATCTGGGCATCCCGTTCTACAAAGCGATGTCCTGATTTCCCCTTCTCAGGTCTGTTTGATGGAGTTCTGGTTTGAAAAATGATCTGTTTTGCTTACAAAAAACAAAGCGACCATATACAGCAAACAGCACACGACACACTGCATCTGATAAATGAGGGTAAAAACAAGGATAAAACCAATTAACTGTTAAAATATTGGGAAAATAAAATAAAATAAAAGATTATGGGCATCCTGTGCAGCGAGGGGGAAAGCAAAAGCAGTTAGATATCCCACGACTGGCATAAATAATTATTAAAGTAAGTTAAACAGATTAAAATAATTATAATAATAATTAAACTCTATTAACATTAAAATATTGGTTAAATAAAAAGGTCTTGACCTGGCGCCAAAAAGCATATAATGATGGCATCAGGCGGACCTCCCTAGGGAGCGCATTCCATAACCGGGGCGCCACCACAGAGAAGGCCCTCCTCCGAGTATTCTGTCTCCTGATCTCCTTCATGGAGGGTTCCCGGAGCAGGGCCTCTGCTGCAGATGGCATGTAGGGAAAAGGACGTTCCTTTAGGTATCCTAAGGGAAATTGAAAAACAGAAGCAGGAACAGTGTGTGGAGAGTTTCCTCTTCATAGTGAGCTCTCTAGGGATCCTGTTTGGATAGAGGATGGGATATAGAGCCACACTGGAGAGCCAGTGTGGTGTAGTGGTTAAGAGCATGCGACTGGGACTCAGACGATCTGGGTTCGAGTCCCCGCTCAGCCATGGAGCCAACTGGGTGACTTTGGGCCAGTCACAGACTCTCAGCCCAACCTACCTCACAGGGTTGTTGTTGTGAGGATAAGATGGAGGAGAGATGATGTAAGCTGCCTTGAGCCCTTTGTAGGAAAAAGGCAGGATATAAATAGAAAAAAAATAATAAAAGTTTTAAATAAATACATAAAATTGTTGGAGGCCCCCGGGGGTGCTTTGTTGGAGACCACTGTCCAAGGCACAAAACCAGCAACATGATAACAGAGAACGTGTTTCTCTGATGGTCGCTTCTCTTCCACAGGGTGGTTTTCCTTGTGGATGTCTCCAGAGCAAATGCCATGTACATCATCCATATCCAACATTCTCTGCGACTTTTACTGGAGGAGCAGATGTCCAACAAGGATTTCTTTAATATCATCGCGTAAGTCATATTCGTGCAGTCGTTGCAACATTTTATGGGGGTAGGTCTATGGGTGATCACCAGCCATCCTTACTAAAAGGACCTTCCCCCTAAACAGGCGGGGCGGTGTAGCAGTTCCAATGTTGAACTGGGGCTCAGGAGATCCCAAGAAGCTCATTAAATGACTTTGGGCCACTCTCTGACTTGCCTACCTCACAGGCTTGTTGTGAGGATTAAACGGATTGGAGAAGGCTCACGTAAGCTGCCTCGGGTTCCTTGCAAGAGGGAAAACAGCAGATTGGAAATGTAATATTAACTCCAGAAGCTGTCTGTCTTCTCTGAACGCAAGCAGCTAATGGGAGCGTGAGGCAAGCGGAGGCTTTGCGTTGCTTGGAAGCGTCTGACAAGACACTCCACCAAAGACATCTGAGCAAGCTTAGCTCTCCTGGGAGAAATGCAGAGGCTCTGTTATGAATCCGTAGCTGGCTAAAGTAGGGAGTGGGTTGTTTGGGTACATCTCCCCATCACACCCAGTTCAGGCTTTGGGCAAAGCTCTCCCCTTTGTGCAGCAGTGACTAACTTTGAGAGGTTTGGGTCCTCAAAAAAAAGTGAAGCGAATTTTTGCTTCCCGGATGCCCCCGCATGCTCGTTATGGGTCTCAAAAATAAATGTAAAAGAAATGTTTGAATGGCACCTGCAAAGCGTTCAGCAGGCCAAAATTAGCTTCGAAAGAAGATCTTTTTAACCCTTTGGGGCTCTGGTGTCCCTGGGGATCCACTTTATGCTTCCTTTCAACAAAAAAAAATTATTTGGAGAGCAGCAGGGTGTGCCTCCAGGCCTTGAGTTGCTCCCCTCCATGTTTCGGTTATCAAATAATAGCAAGGTTGGAAGGCGCCAAGAAGGCCCTCGGGTCCCATCCCCTGCTCTTGCAGGTCACCAGTCTAGACCAGCCCACATGTTTCCCCTGCTCTCGTGGAGGGATGCATGAATGGAATGCGCTAGTGCACATGGGGTGATGTATTAAGCCAGAATACCGGGCTTGAAGGGATGTGCGAGGCCAGTATTTGACGAAGACGACAACGATGGTGATTTTGCATTCTTTGTAGCTTTGGAAGTAACGTGAAGACTTGGCAGCCTGAATTGGTTCCTGCCAGCCCAGAAAATTTACAGAACGCCTGGAGGTATGCAGTACTTTCCACTCGGTAAATAAAACCTCATGGGCAAAAACCTGGATGAGCAATTTCTGTTCTCTCGCACTCCGATCGGAACACCATCAGATGTTACCTGACTGCAGGCCACCCGCAAGCACAAATGAGCCGAACTGGCTGTCCTTTTGCACAGCTGGTGTCGAACTGGCAAAAGGAATTGCTTGGGGCAGGTGTGCCGTCTGATTTCACATCTGGGCTCTGCGTGACTCTGCCAGGCCAGCCCACGCCAGCCCGCCTCAAGACGCGTGGCTCACTCGTTCTTCCTGTTTGCTGCCCTCAGACTACCCCCAAACAGCAAGGATCTCAGATCTGAATCACGGCATGTTTGAATGGGAGGAGCTGAAGCTCAGCGGCTTTGCCTGCAGCAGGTCCGAGGTGGCTGGGACCACGCCAGCCACCAATTGCCAAGGAGCTCGGGCAGGAGGAGGTCTTGCAGCCACCCTGCCTGAGGGATCCCGTGGGCAGTCAGTCAGTCTACCACTGTGTGTACGGAGCGCTGGACTGGATGGCACATTGGTCAGATCCAGTGGGGCTTTTCTTAAGTTCCTACATTCAGGTTTAATCCATGGCATTGGAAGAATTCCTGCCACATCCCAGAGAGCTGCTGCAAGTCCACGGCAATCTTACTGGAGCAAGTCAGGGATGGCCAACATTTTGGACATAGCTGGGAAATCTGAGCAAGGCAAAGGGAGTGCAGCAAGGCTAGGAGGAGGGAGAAAGAAGGTTCTCTTAACCTTTTCCAGGATTTTCATGGAGCTTTTTTTTCCTGGAGGCAGGTGGGGACTACCTGTTAGGTAGGTTAGGATTGCCGTGCTCTAGTCCGGCTCAATATGAGGCAACGCCCTGGGTTCTTAGTGCTGGTGACACATGGGTATTTGAATCAGTATTAAAACTGTTTTTCCAGATGGATTCTGACCCTGCAGTGTGAGGGCACGAGGAACGTTATGAACGTGCTCCGAAGAGCCGTGGAGGTGGACTTGAAAGAGAAAGACAAGCACGAATCCCAGAGTCTTTACTTATTCACCACGGGCATCCCTGACCAAGAGACGGTGAATATGACTCTGACACCAGCTCCTGGAGATACCCAGCACTTTGGAGAACTATTTGTCGCACATGTTCAGAACTGTCACATCCGGGGGTCCCCAGCCTTCTTGGGTTGTTGGGCATATCTGGAATTCTGAGACTCTCGCCTTCCCTTCCAGCACACCATCTGTTCATACATGCTCGAGGTCTGCGGAGGTTGCGACTTGCAGCTGCATGTTTGCCTGTTCAGTGTCAGCGCTGTCGACCCGGGTGACAACGTCCTGCCCCGCTACGCGAATCTAAATGAAACGGCGGCCACTCTCAAAGACATTGCCCAGGCCGCCACAGGCCGGTTTCATTGGTTTGGAGAAACAGGTGCGATTTTGCTCTTGTTTTTGTAGCTCATTAAGACACTCCCAGGCACCAGCCCCTAAGCATGAATTGCACATGTGGCCTCAAACTTTTCCAGAACCAGAGCTCAACTTTGGGGTCTGTTCTTGCTTTAAAAAAAAAGAAGCAGCAGCAAACAAACCGCATGCATTTCAGGGTTTTTCATGTTTCCATCCTCATTCAGCTTTGTTAAGACTTACAGTTCAGACATCCTCTTCATGAAGGTTCTGTTTATGGAGCTTTTGCAAGAATCAGATTGGCTCCTTTACAAGGGTTTTTCTTTCTCTGGCTTTCTATATTTTCCTTTTTGCAACCACAAGATGGCAGTGTGGTTTTGTAGAACTGTGGAAATACACAAGCTTCTCCTAGTGAGATTTCTAAGTAACACCAGAAAATCCTTGATATAAAACAGAGGGAGGGAGGGAGGGAGGGAGGGTGACAAGATTAGGTAGAGTCCCTGGAAGACAATGAACTTGTATAAAGCACTGTGCATGAGGAATCACAAGGGCACAATAAACGCTGAAATCCTTTCGACGTGCCTCACGGAAGATTTTCCTAAATCTTCCTTCCTTGCCCAGGAATTTGTGAAGCTGCGCTTCTACTCAGCCAGACCCCACCTCAGCGCTCTCTCTCAGCACACAGGGTGCTTGTGGTCTTCAGCCATTGTCAGACTCCAGATGCCCATCAGCCCCAGCCAGAATGGCCAGGGTTCAGAGAGGAGTGGCGTTGTATTGCTGCACCTGAGGGCCAGTGACTCAGACCCTTCGGTCACAGGGTCCCTCGAATGGCCACCCAGCAAGTAGCAGGAGGAGCAGGAGGCATCGTATTAATAGGAGAGGTTCCAAAGCCAACCAGTGGGTCTGCACATAGCCTCCCGCTTTGTTTGTCAAGAGGTTTTGAATTGCTGCACAGGTTTCAGCGCTCACCTCGGCTTTTCTCTGTTCTGGCTAGGCATTTATGAAAGCGATGATATCAGCCTTATCTTCTCTGAAATGGAAAAAGCAGTCAACTATTCTCAAAAGGTAGACACCCGAAACTTCTCTTTCTCCCTAAAGTTTTTGCCCAGCCCAACAGCACATCTGCAGACATTAGCCATTTCTTCAAACCTTTGGTGGTGGTCATTCCCACAAAAGGGATGGGCGCATTTTCAAATTGACCATGGATGTGCGCTAGGGCACCTTGTATTTATGTGTTTATCACTTGAATCCCCCACACTTCTTTCCCATCTGTGGGATGTTCTTACAATGGCAGAGATCCATTCACAAGGTGTACTTCTGTCTCATACTCCTAAGTGTTGGGGGTATAACAGTAAGCTTTTTTCCCTTTCTGTTTTCACTCAGGCTGAGGGCGATCTCTTAGCCATTTGCTTCAGGGTTCAGCCCTGAGAGGAACTGATGAGGGTGCTGCTAAAATCTTCTGTGGAGTTTGCTAAGCATGAGTGTGTGTGTGTGTTGTTTTCAGTGTGCTTTGCTGGTGGAATCCTTAAAGCAACGATCAGGTGGTCAGTTGAGTAACCAGCTGAATCCCGAAGAAAACATCGCAATGTTAGAGAAGCCGAAGAGGAGCAGACCGCAAAAGATACAGTCACCAAAACCGACGGCCCTCACTCTTGCCAGGATGGTATGCCTCGATTGAGCATCAGTAGAGCAATCTTGATCCACGCCAGCACCATCAAGCATCTATACTTCCTGGCTCTCCCCAAAGTCTGTCTATCCATCCTAGTGCTTGAGCCTAAAGAGCATTCCCTTTTCCTTCCACATCTTTATAATACGACTTAATGTCACACGTCATCCCTCAGGGACAAATCAATTTCAGGCGACATACAGGTGACATACAGGTATGTGAGGGGATGTCACACAGAGGTGGGTAGAGACCTGTTCTCCCCTGCAGAGGAAGGCAGGACGCGCTCCAATGGAGCAAAGCTCAGGGAACCCAGGTTCCATTTGGATGCCAGGAAGCACTTCCTGCCAGTCAGGACCCCGAGGGTATGGAATGGGCTTCCACAAGAGGTCGTTGAGGCCCCTTCAGTGCGGGTGTTCAAGGACAGGCTGGACGTGCACATGGTGGGCATGTCGTGAGCGGAGCCGGCTGGTCAGACTAGATGGCCCGGGAGGCCCCTTCTGTCTCGCTCTGTTTCTGTGTTTCTAATTTTGGGGGTGAGGGGGGTGAGGCTCTCTGGCCTGCTACTTGTTTGGCCAAGCCCTTGATCAGGCTCTGTGACTGGTGGAATTTGCTGCTATGATAATGGTGAAAGCCACTTTTCTGGCTCTCTCACAATACGCACGGAGGAGATGGAGGGTGGTGGGTGGTGCTGTTACGAAGAGATGCTGTGGAGAAGCCAAGCACAAAAGTTGACCCCCAAGGGACCCCCTTTTTGCTGTCAGGAAATGTTAGCAATGGCTGTGGGAGGTGGGAGGTACCATCAAGCCTAACAGCGTGGCATATCCCTCTTACAAAAGTCCCCTTCTGAAAAAAAAATTACTCCCTTTCTTACCTGCGTCTCATTCTGCCAAGCCCTTGATCAAGAATCAGCAACTTACAAACCAAAGCATCGGGAGGACCACGACTCCCCTCATCCCTCAGCATTGGCTCTGTTGGCAAGGGCTGATGGGAGTTGTAGGCCAAAGCTTCAGTGAAAGACCATCAAGATGATCTCCTTTGCACTTGAATGAGACCTGCATTCACTCTTACACTGTAACTGTTTGATGCTGGAATGGGAAGACCTGGGCTCAAACCCTTGTCATCCACGTAAGTCGCTGTGTGTCCCTGAGCTGGACACCAGCTCCCAGCCTAACACCCCCCCCCCCCACAGGTGCATCACAGGGATAAAACTGGATGGTGGAACCGTGTGCGTTGTGTGGGCAGAAGGAAGATCTTCAGATGTTTTGGACTTAATTCCCAGCATTGCAGACCAGTGGCCATGCTGGCAAGAGCTGCTGGAAGTTGAAGTCCCAAACATCTGGAGATCTTTCTGCCCACCCCTGATGTACACTGTCCTGAGCTTCATGTAGAAAGGACGCTATTCAAAACCATAAAATACAGTATATGTGATTATTGTGATTTATGCACTGACAATGCAGACCTGTGTTTGTCTTTATGGCCCTCCAATTTTCTCTCTTCAGTATATATTTCCATATTGTTTGCTGTCCCACAAAGTTACCCCTTGGGAGGTCCTAAAACCAAGTTCCTAATTAACACGCACAAACGAACAGTGCCTCACAGCATGCTGGCAAGCAAATGCATGCGCTGAGAGTCTTTCTGAAATGTTAACTTTAGAATTCAAGAGACCATCACAAGGACAGAAACGGTCCTGTGAAAACCCTCCTGTGGCGTCCACCGAGCTCCAAAGCCGAAATTCCTCCAGGTGTGTGTGTGTAAGTAAAACTCCCAAACAGGAATTGCCAATTGCTTGCATAGATGCAAATGATAGACGTCTGTGTGATAGACATCTTCATTCTCCTGGGGGCAATGAAATAATATTCTGGTATTGTCCTGCAGTACAGTCAATGAAGGAGATTTTTCTGCCAAGAAAGAAACCCAACGTAAAGCTAAAGAAACATCCAGAGGTTTCACACTTGTGTTATATGGAGAAAGAAAAAAGCATAGGTGAGTATCCCAAGGAAATGAGTTTTTTTCCCTTCCTAAATCAGCAGGGCTTTAAAACTTTTAGCATGGGAACTTACCTCTCTCCTCCTTTTAGGCTTGACTTAACCTCATTTGACAGATCTCTTAATAAGTGTGTGAACAACAACCTTTCTGGTGTGTGAAACAGGAAGAGAATTTAGTGATGGCCTGGAATGAGAGAGGAATTTGTTAGATCTGAATTTTGAGGAGAACTTACCTAATGGGCTCCTCCTGAGGCAATACATGACCCAAAATGAGTTTAAGCTCCAAAATTTGTGTTTTACCAAATTTTCTGATGCAGTTATCCTCTTTAAAAATGCACACAAAAATGCATATGATAGAGAAGTTTACATGCCAGCATGTAAAATTACATACAAAAACACACGATGCTTGAAAAAATGAAAAACTTAAGTAATAGTACACACAAAGATACATATATGCAGGAGAAGTGTACAGAATAATGCAAATATTGAACAAGATAATGTATATGACATTTCTTGCAGTGTATTAAAAAACAAATTCATACCCTGATTTCGAAGCAGGATGAAATGAACCTGCTTCAGACAAATGAGGTCGGAAAAATGAGAAAGTGCATAAACCTGAAATTGATAAATTTGTCCTCTCATATGTGTGGTCATGTGAGAATGACACTGTCATGAAAAGAAGGGATTAGGTACCCAGATCATCAGAAAGACCTTGCTGGATCAGTGCAAGGGCCCATTTCGTATTCTTTCATGCAACCAGCTGCCTGAAAAATGCCAGCAAACTAACAACCTGCAAAATATGTTACTGCTGCTTTGGGAGCAAAGCGAAATCCTGCACCAGACGGTTGCCCGGCCTGATCCAGCAGGGCTCTTATGTTCCTAGGAAGGAAGTGGATGATTAGCACTGCCTATTGATCCACCGATCCATGGCGAACCCTATTTTTTTTAACAGGGTATGTCAAACTTGAGATCCTGATGTAAAGAAAGGAGGGCTGTTTGAGAATTCTAACCCTGTCCTATGGGGTTTTCTAGAAGATGACATCACCTTTCCCCCAACCATTTGTAATTTCCCAGATTTTGTACACTCGCTGCTCCTACTTCCAAAAAAATTGAATTGTCTCTCTGTAAGGTCCTATACAAAGCATTTATTGTGCATTTGCGATTCCTCACTCACAGGAGCTTGCAGGAACCTAACACAATGACATCATCCTCTGCAGACTTTCATGTGCTTTCTAAGTATTTCCACTGTCTGTCTGTCTGTCTCTCTCTGTCCCTTTTTAGAGCAAGTATAGGATAGTATTACTGGGAAAGAACAGAATGAACCAGAGTGGGAAATTGGGTAGTTTTGCAATTCTGCTATACCAGAGTGCCACCTTGGGGTTGCGCAAAGGAACATTCATTCATTCATTCATTCATTTAGGGAACTTCTATGCCGCCCCATTCGCCAAAGCCTCGGGGCGGCTCACAATCATAAATAAATAACATAATATAAAACAATATAATTTAACAGTATAAATTAAGTCGCCCTGGCCAAAGAATAAAATAAATAAATAATATTAACAATTAAAATAACATTTGACTAAAAGGGTCTTCACCTGGCGCCGAAAAACAAATAACGACGGCGCCAGGCGGACCTCTCTAGGGAGCGCATTCCATAGATTGGGTGCCACTGCAGAGAAAGCCCTCCTCTGAGTACTTACCCTCCTAATTTCCTTCACGAAGGGTTCCCGGAGAAGGGCCTCTCCCGCTGATCTCAAGGGGCGGGAAGACAAATATGGAAGAAGGCGTTCCTTCAGGTCTCAAGCCGTTAAGGGCTTTATAGGTAATAACCAGCACCTTGAATTGGGCCCAGACTTCAATGGGAAGCCAGTGAAGCTGACGGAGAAAGGTAGAAAAAGAAAGGTAGAAAGGTAGAAAAAGAACCAGGATCAATCTTAATCCTACAATCTGGAAGCAGAGGCTTTGGTAAATTGGTGGATTAATAGCCTCATGTAGAGACCTTTCAAACAGAATATGTTGGTGGCTTTTGTTCATGTATTTGTTTAGCTCCAGCCACTAGAATTTTTTTTAGCTCCAGCCACCCTTGAAATCTTCTGTGAAATGGAATCTGGCCCTCCACTGAAAGGGGTTCTGCATGACTTGTTTTTTGACACACGAAAAGCAGGCTTATCCAAAGCGGAACTCTCTTCTTTTCCTAGGTGCTGTTTATAAAAAAAATTCAAATCCCAAGGGGGTGAGGAGCTCAGTTCCGCTAGCCATTTTGCCTCATGAAGAAGAAATATGCTCAAGCAAAGAGGTAAGATGCTTTCTGAGTTACGCTGCCTCACTACAAATTACCATTTAAAGCTCTTCATTTTTTTCTTCAGTTGCTCTACATGCCAAGTGTACATCATTAACTCAACAATCTGTCATGCTTTCTCTGTCTCAAAAAAAGTGGCTGAGCAAATTCAGCATAAAGAGATTAAAGTTAGAGTTGCCCAGCCTCATTTTCGGACCCGGGAGCACGCATCGGAAACACGTGGTGGAATCACTGGGCAAGAAAGTGTCGGCAAAGTATTGTGACATCTTCCCAAGTGTAGAAATGCATGTAAGCCCCGTGGTGTTGTTTCTTATATGAAGCATGAAATGTCTTTTCCATAATCTCTGCCAATTACCTGGACTTCTGCTTTGAGGGCTAAATCTTCTGAGATGTTTCTTCATGCATAAAATCAAATTCATATACTGGTTTCTCTGAGGCTGTTAAAATGAGGAGCTAGTATATATGCGCTTGTGAAATAAAACGCTAGTTTTTTGGTGTTGGTTTTTTAAAAGCAGCCTTGAAAAGCTGTGATTTGAGTGAAGGGGTAGTTGAAGTCTAGGGAATGCAAAACTCATTCTCCATGATTATTGGCAGCGTAGATGAGCAAATTGTGTGAACATGCCCAGAGAGACATATTTTAATTTAATTAAACTCCTGCGCTGACTATCCAAGACATCCCCATACAAGTTCATCAGCATTGGTACTTACCATACCTGTGTTCTAGGGCATTGTGAAACACCTACACCTGCAGCCCAAGGATCTGGATGATTACATCGAGCAGATGGTACGACTGCTGCAGCGTTATGTTCGAAGACTGCAGTGGCTTCTTTCCGGTCCGTAGCTTTCCTAAAATTGTGAAGTCACTACAGCATTGATATTTTCCATGTATTGTTTGAGAAGGCAAAGTTAGAGCCTGTAGAATATGGCACCCAGCTGCATTTCCTACTTTTTTGAGGCTGAGAGAGTTGGCCAAGAAAATCCAAAGGGCTCATGGAAAAGCAGCCGCTTGGACTTGGAGCACTCATGCCGAAGACCAGCACTCTGTTCGGTCCACAATTACTTCCTGTTTTGCATGTACAAATAATGAATTTGTTGCTGCCGTCACCATCTGATCAATGGATTCTCAACCAAAGTGGATCCATCTCTGTTTCCCCTTCCCTCAGTTCAAGTCGATTCCGGACCGGGAAGAGAAATTGGGGGGCACTGTTTCATACTGCGAGGCTGAATAATTTGGCAGAGTGGGTTTGGCTTTTGGCTTGGACCATGGGGAGAAAGCAAACACTTTGCCCTGACGGCTCTGCATGACCTGATGGGGCACACAGACAGTGCCCTGGTATCATAGGCAGAGATGGGTTGCTCTTAGCATTTGCCCAGCTCTGCTCCAAGCCAAAGAAAAGGCAAAACTCTGTGTGTGTGTGTGTGTGTGTGTGTGTGTGTGTGTGTGTGTGTGTGAGAGAGAGAGAGAGAGAGAGAGAGAGAGAGAGAGAGAGAGAGAGAGAGAGAGAGAGGGAATGTGTTGTTTTAGCTGGTGGCAGCAGCAGCTGAGACAAGTTTCTCAGGTAGAAGAAGCAACTTGGATGTGAGGGTTTTTATAAGGTATGGCATGTCCCTACTGGCCAGTGTGGTCACTGGACAGTATTTATAGAATCCTAGAATCGTAGAGTTAGACAAGGCCAAGAAGCCCATCAGGTCCAACCTGCTCGCGAGAGGGCTCCAAATCAAATCATGCCTTGCAGATGGCTGTCCAACTGCATCTTGAGTGCCTCTCTAGAAAGCTCACCACCTCCAGGGTAATTGGTTCCATTGTAGTATCTACATTCATTCATTCATTCATTCATTCATACATGTATTTATAGGCCGCCTATAACAGACGAGGCCTTCCTAGATGGCACTTCCTAGTACTGTTCAAACAGTCAGGAAGTTCTTCCTGCTGTTCCGCTGGAACCTGGCTTCCTATAACTCGAGTCCATTATTCCACATTTCAGCAGCTGAGTTGGCCCCTCCGTCTCTTCTGAATCGCAATCCGATTCAACAGTCTTTGACGGTTCTTTCATAGGAGGTGTGAGCCGCATCCCTGCCATATCCCTGTCTTCCCATGCCTGCCAAATCTCTTTTGTGATCGCTGGCTTGTTGGGGTTGGGCCAAGCATCTTTCCCTTTATTAGCAGCACAGTCCGTTCCTTTTTCCAGCCCAACTAGGAGGAAGTGGGGGACTGTTTTAAAGCACTTCTCCTCCAGCTAGTCCTGATAAAAAGCTCCAGACCCCAGGCGTTCACTTGTGGCAGGATGGATAATCTTTCTGTGCTCCCCTCCAAACAAGGTGGGTGGAGAGACATGAAGCGATTCTCTTCTCCGACCAAGTCTGGAGTCTGTGCAGGTTGGACAGTTGAGAAACTCGGGGTGGTTTTTCTGTTTTGTGTCTCCTCTGTTCTCTTTCTATCCTTTGATAATAAATGTACTTTTTCTTCATCCTATCCGGACAGGAAGTATGTGATGGATATTTCTGACCAAAATGGTCCAGGGCAAGGGTTTTCTTTGCCCATGTGCCCAAGCTGTACCAAAGCTAGACTCTGGAAGGAGTTGCTGTGCAAAGGACCTCGACTTCCCTCTGGCTCCGTCGTAGCCCCTTTAAACAACCCTTTTGAAGCTAATGTCTTTAGAAGGCCCTGAACCCCAAGGTTAGGTAATGTGAAGTCATGCCATGGCAATAAATGTGGTTGATTTATTTTATTTTTGTTTAAATAGGAAGTCGACGATTGTTTGGTGTTATTTTGGAAGCAAAGGTCTGCATCCTGGTTGATACATCTGGGTCCATGGAGAGTTCCCTGGAACAGGTCACCAAGGAGCTCACCTCCCTTATCTGGGAACAGCTGAGGACAAATAATACCAAGTAAGAAGTCGCAGGAGTGACCTCTGGGGAGCTCCCATCACCACTGAGCTAAACCTTGCTGGGATCTAAAGCAGCTTGTATGAGTTTCTCCAGCAGGTTCATCCAATTAAGCCTCAAAGTGAAATAGGATCCCTCTGCTGGTCCAGCAGCCATTTTGTGTGTGTAGAAATGGGATCGGACGTTATCTTTCCTTTTGTCTCAGGCAACAAAATGGGCTTTTGCTCACAGAATCAGGAGTGTAAGCCACCTTGCCCTTTGCACCAGGAGGCAAAATCTCCTGGGCCTTCCATGCATTCACGACCGGCCGGTTAGATGCAGCAGGAGGTAAATCTGAGAGGCAGCAGGGGGAAAACTAGGTTGGCTTTGAAAGGTGCCGTGTTCAGGCTCGTAAGCAACTGATCAGGTCTCCGGCCAGTGCAGACAGGCGTTCCTTAGGAGAGAACGATGAAGGAAGGACCACCTTGGACAGGCCAGTGTGAGCCTCTTCTTCTTAGCTCAGAAATACGGGCAGGCAACTCACACAGAGCGGTGCTACAAGGAAGTGGTTGCTTTGGCCTGGGGCCAAACGCATCACCCTTTTTGGCCTCTTCCTCTCCAGGTTCAGCCTGATCAGCTTTGCAGAAGATGTTGAAGTTTGGCAAGAATGCCTCATGGAGGCCACCAACGAAGCCTGCCATGACGCCGCACAGTGGCTCTCCCTGTTTCAAGCTCACGGGAACACATCCATCCTGAAGGCTTTACGGGTTTGTTAAGCTAGGGAAAGCCTACTGGTGGCATGGGGTTTACCCCAAACGTTGGCGTCTGGAGACCCTGTCAGCGCTGTCCCTGCCAAAAAACCGAACCCTGCTTCCCATCCGTTCATCCTTTTGAGCACTGCTCCAATGGAAAGGTCTAGAATGCCTGCTCCAACCTGTTGCTCTCCAGAGGTTTCAGGCCACAGCTCCTAGCATCGCTGACCATTGGCTGAAGCTTGTGAGAGTTAGGAGAGGCTGATGCAGTCAAACCTTTCTCCAAAGGATTCTAGAGAAAAGTCTGCAATAGCAACCGCCTCCTCCTCCTCTGTCATGGTTGTCACTTTCTTTTAGCACAGAAACAGCAGAGGGCATGGAAGGACAGTGTCCAGGCCATATATAAATTGAGAATTGAGTATGAAGTTGTGTAATGTAGCTCCAAAACACGGACAAAGTATAAGTCAAGAAGACAACCTTACCTGTGGGATGGATTAATTTTATCCTGGCGTTCCCTTGCGTTGGCTGATCTTTCGGCAATCCTGCTCTGCTTTTCAGAGAGCTTTCAGTTTCCAAGATGTGGAGGCCCTGTATGTTCTGACTGATGGGAAACCAGACACAAGCTGCAGCTTGGTTCTCAAAGAAATCGAAATGCTTATGAAGAGACGGGCAATAAAAATCCACACTATTTCATTTAATTGCGCAGATAGGTAGGTGTGGCTGTGTTGGAAAAAATGACTTGTTAATTGTTTGACTCACAAAATAGTCAATTTAACAAAGTACTGCCAATATTTGAATGTTTTTTACTCCCTCAAACACTGTAAATGACTTTATATTAAGAATGAGTTCAAATGCTCCCCTCTTGCATATCTTTAAAAACGCTATCATAGTCTTGCTAATTTCCTAGGGCCGTTTCATAAATTCCATTTTTTTATGAAAATAACATTAGCAAGTTACAATGACCTGGTTCACACATAACAACAACCCAGAATAAGTGCAAGCTATCTGTGGTTGTTGTGACTGAATTGTGGGTTGTCATTACTGGTGAACCCTGCACCATAAATTAAGTATGGTTTGGTAACAATGAACAACCCAGAGTTAACAACCCAACAAGGAGCTGTGAGTTCTTTTCCTGGATTATGGTCCATCATCAAACCACAGTACCAGGTTCACATGTAATGACAACCCGAGATCCAACAATAACAATAAATCAGCAACAACCCTTACTCAACCCATACTGATAGAGATTTCATCACCACACATCCACACTCCCTCTTCTTGGTCCCCAAACCAGTTTTGGGCAAATCTGAAGAAGATAGCTTCAAACTGACTTTTCCAAGCAGCAATATGATGTTCTTCATGTGATAAAGTTCATGTACATAGAAAGACCCGGTCATATCTGTTGAAATGACGTCCTTAGAGGAGATGTGAGAACAGCAACCACCCTCTCTGGAAATAATGCTACAGATGCCTTCTCCTTCCCCTTCCCCTTCCCAACAGAGATGCAAATGACTTTCTCAAGCAACTGGCCTTCCAAACGGGTGGACGCTACCATCGGTGCCATGGGGATTTAGATGGACAACTGGCAGCGCACCGACTCCTGTCAGAAGGTTTTAAAGATGAGGATGTATGTTTAGTTGGTGCGGTCCGTTGTGTCTCTCCCTCTTTTCTTTGGGTGTTGGCTAGAGAAAGCAGATTTTCCCTTAGCTGTGAAGATATTCCTGGAAGATTTATCTCTTTATGTGTGTTTAGAGGGGGCACTTTGTCAATCCCTCGTCAACGCTCTGCCTAAGTCAAGGGTGGGCAACCTATAGCCTTCCAAATGATTAGAACCATTCATAGATTCATAGATGTTATTCATCCGTTCATCCATGCATCCCATGCTGTCCTCATCTTTAAAAAAAGGTGAAAGTGTTGCAGAGAAGGAGAGGTCTTAGAGGATGGATGGAAAATTTTGTATAAAGCAAATGACTTTCAGTGAGGAATCACATGCACGTAATAAATGCCTCTTATGGAAAAGCTCCAGGCCTTGGGAAGGGCATTTCGGTCCTTTAGAGCAGGACAAAACCACTGCAAAATGACTGGAAGCCACCCAATGGCTGCCAGCCATGCGCCAGGCTGTTGTGGCGTCATCTATGTTGTATGCCACGATTTTACGGACGAGACCAGAGACTGGTTGGAATTATCGAGAGAGATTTATTTACCTGCAGGGACCAAGCACTCATAGGAGTGTGGTCTCGAGCAGAGGGTAGACATTGATTTTATACTCTTTTACACTTATGCTTGAATGACAGCAAACAATAGGGGGACAATAGGGGAACAATAGGGGAAAGCACATTTGCACAGTTATCATGCTAAAGCAAGCAAGCGTGGGTACAAGGGCATAACATCTGCGGTGATACTGGTAATGCTGGAGCGTAGTCTGCTTGGTTGTCAGCTTTGCGTAGCATGCACATCCATGTTCGTGTCCTTGTTCTCACGCGAACAGGACACCCTGATCATGCTTTTTACTCGTGATGAGCCATGCCCTGGCTACGTGCTTGATTATGAGGGGGGGTTACAACAATCTACCCCAATCTAGACGTGACCCACAGTGCTGAGCTCCCGCGCCCCTGGATGATGATGATGATGATGATGATGATGATGATGATAACATTTCTATGCCGCCCCTTGCCGAAACCTCGGGGCGGCTTACAACACGATAAAATACATTGAAATACAATAGCACATAATAAATTACCATTAAATACAAAAATACAAAAAATACATTGATTTACAAATATAAGATTAAAATTATCAGTATAAATTAAGTAAATAAAAATATAGGAGGAGAATATAGGAGGATTAATTGGAGGCATTCAGTATTGTCACGCTGAATGCCTTTTATTCTGTGTGGCCACAAAAGAACGGGACCGTGGCCACAAAGCTGAGCCATGGTGGGGTGGGTGGCCGTCAGCCCCAGCTCCCCACAGTGTTTCTGCTGGCTTCCACCCTGTGGTCTCCACCCTTCCTTCCTCTGGAACCGCCTGCCCCATCCGCCCCATCTGCCTCACTTCCTGCAGCAGGTCTTGCCAATGCTGGTGGCAGGTTTTTGAGGGCCCTTCAACAGGACACCCTCCATGGATCCCTCCTTCAGGGAGGCCACCTTCTCTCCACCATGGTCACCACCAGCGACCGTTGCTCCTCAGCCTTCTTCTTCACGGGCACCGCTCCTTCTCACCACAGCTGTTGTCCAGGCCAGAGCAAAGACAGCGGAAGAAGCTGGCCACCCTGGGGAAGAGGAGGAGCAATTCTAGGGGATCTTCCTTGGACACCCTGCCAGGGTGCAGGTCCCTGGCAGGAGACCCACAACACCCTTCCGTGATGCCAGCCCTGCCAGCAATCATGGTTCAGATTGGCCCATGCTACTGGTGGTGTCCTCCTTTGCCATTCCGCATGCCTGTTCTTTTATTTCTGCTAATATTGCTCAATAGTTATACAGATTTTCCCTTTCCTTCCCCTCCTTCTGAAGGTCTGCCCATCACCTCTGTTGTGTCCAGCTGCTTCTGCCCCCCCCCCCAGGCAAAAAGGGCAGTTCACACTGACGAACAGGAGCAGCAAGCCCAGGGACTTCCCGTTGGTGGCCCCTGCTGGGGTGTGAGCCCCATGAAGGAGCCCACAAACAGGCCAACGTCATCTGTTGCCACGCTCATTTTCCCCAGAAAGATGTCCTCCTTTTCTAGTTCATAAGCTGAGCCCAAGAGCAAGGTGATGTGCCAGGGAAGCCTCGGGTCGCATCTCCAGACATATTCGTCCCAACGTACCTACTGTGATCCAAGCACTCATTCTTATTTTCTTGTGTCAGGATCCGGTTTTACCTTTGTTCGAAGGAGATGATTTAAAGAGGCTTGCTGAGGAAGTTGCAAAAGCTAGGAGCTATTTGAGACAGGCCAAGTGGATTAGGTGAGTGTCTGCTTTCAGTAATGTTGGTGGAGATACTTGAACCCCAAAGTGAAAGATTTTACGTTCTTTAAAAAATACATGACGTATGCTACATTTCCCTAAAAGTGTCACAACAGCCAGTAAACCCACTGCTCATTCCAATACCGGTGACAATATTTTGTAAACAGGGCTAATCTTCGGGCTTTTCTGGAGCGGGACCATTATTGTACTCCACAGCCAAAAATCTTCCAGGGCAGTTTACATAATAACAAGAAAGTGCAAGCCACCGCTCTATTATCTAAAAAGCCATAGCACACAAGGAAAAAGGGATGGGTCGGGAAGAGGAGAGAACCGCATTTCTAACAGTCTCAGTGGGACACGAAAGAATCGTAACAATATTTTTTGCTTCATTTGTTGTTTCTTTTACCAGATCACTATTAGAAAAAAAGATAACTCAAAAAGAGAGCTCCTCCTAATTCAGCTGCTTCCAGGTAGGGTGTTTTTCAGATCCTCTGAAATGAAATACATTTTTTCAACTATGGATGCCAAATATATTCAGACTTTGGAGAGCATTGGTGATTCATCAAACAGCTGCAAAGACGGTGGATCTCCAAGGAGATTCATTTAGGGCTGTCTGTTTGGATGTTAGACAAATCTGATGTGGCAAATGATATTAGCCGTTGCAAGAATTCCCTTGCAAGTAGCTCCAGGCCAGCTATATTAAGCAAGCCAGACTTAAAATTGAGGATCCTGCCAATATTATGATCCAGACTTAGAGAGATGTAGAAAATTATGCTTGCATTGCTGGAAATGTTCTCAAACTCATCCAGGGCCCACACAGGACTGCCAAGCTCATTGGCAGCTTGAATAGGACTGCCCTGTAATCTGTTTTTCCCTTCCTTTTCCTAGAGTTCTACTTGCATCTCTGAAAGGAGCAGTAAACTGATGATTGCCTTGTTTAGACCTCACAATAACTCACACTCAAGGATTAAGTATGGGTGGACAGTGTGTTGTTGAACCACGGCTTGCTGTTGAAAGATGAGTGGTCATGTGTAGCGAGAATGTGTTGTCTAAGCCCAGCCAAGATAGCAAACCACAGTGAACAACCCTGCAGTTCACAACCCAGCTATAAACCATGGGTTCTCTCCATTGGCCTGTTCATGGTTAACAAGCCATGGCTTGTTAGAACAGCTGGGTTCAGGCAGCATGATGAGAACCACCCTCAGTTCAATGATAATCCACACACAACCTTGAGCATGGGTTTTTGTGGTGTCTGATCCCACCAGAGAGCTACTTTCTCATCACCCTTGGTTTGCACAGAAGCATAGAATAGTACAGCTGGAAGGGGCCATGGAGGCCATTGGGTCCAACCCTCTGCTGTAGCAGGACACAATTTATACCATCTCATTCAGATGGCTGTCCAGCTTTGCCTCGAAGGTCGAAATTCACCTCATCCTCCTTTCCCTCATTACTACTGCAAGTCGGCTGTACACCTTCTTATCAGTACTGCCCCTGCAAGTGAACAGGCAAGTTCCAGTGATAAAAGTCCAGGGGACCCTTGTCAATGGGCCTCCGTTGTGTCAGTTCCCAACTGTGATGCCCTTCCAGGTGAGAGTGAAGGACTGGCCCAAGTCACCCAGTGGGCTTCTTGGCCAAGCAAGGACTGGAACCCAGATCTTCTCGGTCCAAGACTCCATCCACCGTGCCACACGGGCTCCCTCATCTCTTCCTCACTGTTTCAACAGAGCACTGATCCAGCCAAGGAAGCTCACCATAGAAGGACCCACCGGCTCAATATCTACACCATTCTTCCCTACATGCACCAGTCCTGGAATGAACCAGAAAATCCTCTGAAGACTGTTGCATACTAGTTTGGAAGCAGCCGGCCAAATCTGTGCTATCCCAAAAGGAGCAGCACAAATGACTCTAAAAAGTAGCAGATATGGATGATTATTCAGTCAGGGCACACCTGGCTGTGATCCAGAGAGCGTTTGGCACAATCTGCTGGAATCTTTCTTTGAAGAAACTCACTTCAAAGGACCTACTTGACTGTGGATATGACTTTTCTCTCTAACTCACAAAAACTGGACAAAAGATTGAAAATTACAACTTACGTACAAGGAATTCTGCCAAATTACACCTACGCACAAGGAATCTTGCCAAACTGAGATGTTTCCACCAGAGTTTGTGACCTGCAATCCTTCACATGTTTAGCCTTACAACTCCCATATACCCTTAGCCAAAGAGGAGAGATGTTGGGAGTTGTAAGCCAAACTTGGACGGCCACAGAATGCCCATTCTTGTCTGAGGCACTTCACTAGCAGACTGCATTTGCCAAAGCTGTGGGCAATGATTTATGGGTGCTTCTTAAGTTTAGACACAAACTGAGTTTTCTGAAATGGGCCTGCAGCCCCTGCTGAAGACTTGCCCTGGGAAGCAATGATTCCATTTGCCAGTTCCCCTCGACGGTTGCACTAGTCTTTTTACATAGCTCGAGAACTTCACAGAATGTGTCCCAACTCCAGTTACTGCTTTTCCCCCACCAAAGAAATAATAATGCAATGGCACCACCTGCTGAGAGCTCGTCTCTCCCCCTGCTTCCCCCTCTGGTGGACTTACATGAAGCACAGTCCTTTATTTGAGCTCAGAAGGTTTACAAGCACCATCCCTCAAGGTGACAATCTATGTTAGATGTAGCAGTAGTGTTGGCCCATGTGAAGAGTAGAATCTTGTATCTTGTTGTTCGCTGCTTAGAGAACCCTCTCAGGTTCTCCAGCGGCCTATAAATTTAAAAATAAATAAATAAATCTGAACTGGATCATTTTCTTCCTTCCCTCTTTTTTGGAAAGGATAACTACCCTCAGGGTGGCTCACACTGCTTGGGGACTGAAAGGCAGGAATCCTGGACTGTCCTTAACTGGTCTCCTTTCCTGGCCTGAACCTGAAGGCCTAAGAACTCCCCCTCAGTCTCTACCCCTCCCTGTTCTCTAGTATCTTCCTCTTGCTCCAAGACAGCTTGGTTCCCATGCTCTGCCTCATTCATCTCACTCCAAGGAGACACTGGCTAATTCCTGTTTATCCCCCACTCCGAATCTGAATTAGCCGGCTTCTCTCTATACTTCCATTTCATAGAATCATAGAATAGTAGAGTTGGAAGGGGTCAAGAAGGCCATTAGGACCAACCCCCTGCAGTTGCAGGACACCAGTTTACACCATTCCACCCAGATGACCATCCAAGTTTTGCCTTGAATGTCTCTATGGTGGGAGAGCCCACAACCATTCTAGGCAACTGGTTTCACTGTCGTATTGCTCTGACAGTGAGGAAAATGTTCCTGATATCTAGCCTGAACCTAGGTTGTCGCAACTTGAGTTGATTATTCCGTGTCCTACACTCTGGTACCAGCAAGAAGAGATCTTGACCTTCCCCTTAGTGACAGCCTTTGAGGTCCTTATAGAGGGATATCATGTCCCCCTGAGTCTTCTCAAGGCTGAACATGCCCAGTTCTCTCAGTCTCTCCTCATTGGGCCGTGTTTCCAAGCCCTGGATTGTTTTTGTTGCCCTCCTCTGGACCATTTCTAATTTTTCAGCATCTTTCTTAAATCTTGGTGCCCAGAACTGGACACAGTATTCCAGATGAGGTCTGACTGGGGAGGAGTATAGGGGAACTACAACTTCTTGTGATTTGGAAATAATACTTCAATTAATGCATCCCAAAATCGTAGTAATCTAGTCCCTGTTCCACTGGAGCCTGGATATACCTACTTAGGAGAGACCATATTTGGCATCCCAGCCCAAGGTGGCAGGAGGCACTCTGAGTTACTGCGAGCAACCAAGATAGATTCAGAAGTACCCTGGAAGTCCCTCAGACATGACCTTTGAGTCTTTGAGATGTATATAAAAATACTGTATGTACTGAGGAAATCTCAGAATTGCAGACCCAGGAGAATGTATGTTTGGATTCACAGGAAGACGTTATGCTCAGTTTCAACAATTTATTGGCAGAACATCCAGATACCCCTCTCTGACAGAGAAAATACAACAGCTCTGTTGAGTAGTCAGCATACTGAACTGACTACGAAAGCACAGTCAGAAGTTTTGTTCTGTTCTGTTCCGTTCTGTCCTTATGAATCATGTACACAGTTTCAGGGCAGTGACGAGGTTCTGAATAGGTGGGAAGGTGAGGACAATGGGAAACAAGAAATCAAGAAATCATTATAGGCATCTGGAAAAACGTCAAAGACTTGAGTAACAGATAACAAATAAAACAATCAGGAGTTACAGAAATCTAACAAGTTTTAAATATTTTGGCTTTTGCAATCAGAGATATGAAATTCCTGAAGACAAAGCATGAGCCAGCCAGGTATTTTTACATTGCAAATGAAGTGCAGCTGCATGGATGAAATCGCTCTCTTAAGTCCTAGTTCCTTGCTGAAAGAGCTTTATGCATATTATATACTAATATTATTGGCCATGTCCTCTTGCTTGGGCACCAACCCGAACAGAGTCTTGGAGGGCTCCTCTGCCGTGAATTTCAGCCCTTGGGCTGAAAATGTTCTTAATTCCTCTTCTGGCTGATCTGTTTTGCAACACCTGCACTCAAACCTCAGGCACACTTCCAGGGGAAAAAGACGGCCACCAAAGGTTCGCTACCCCATGAAAATATTGGTTGCCTCTGCTTTTGTCCCAGTGTGCTCCCAGCAGAGACCTTTAGCATGAAACCCAGATATACAATACATCAAAGATGAAAGAGGCCAGATGGCATGGCACACCCTTTCCCCATTTTCTCTATCCTAGAATTAAGCTAGTGGTCATATGACAAGAACCAGCAGCAGTAGACTGGTGTATCCACAGGCAAAAAACTCCCCACGGACAAAAATCAAACTAAAAACAAAGGACCTTAGCTTCCACATTTGTAACACTCCCTAGAGAAATACTTGTGTTCCAGAAATGAATCAGACTCATTTCTAGTGTTGATGGCTTTGCCTGTGTTTCCTTCATATTCCCTTGCCTTGCCTTCCAATTTCTTGCCTTTGTTTATATCCTGCCAAGGCGACTTAAGAACCCTCTCCTACTCACAACCGTCCTGTGAGGTAGGTTAGGCTGAGAGGCAGGGATTGGCCCCAAGTCACGCAGTTTGCTTTGTGGCTGAGTAGGGGCTGGAATGCAGATCTTCTGATTCCCAGTCCAAGATGCTCACCACCATACTTGTGTCCTTCTTTTATGGAGACCCTTCCAGCCAGTCTCTGAAACTGACCTGAAAGGTAGGGACAAGACGTCAACACCCAGTGAAATCTAGATCAGCAGTTTCCAAACTCTGTTCTGCAGAACCCTGCAAAAGCCTCCATGAGAAATCTCAAAAATCAAACTCAAAATAGATTTTAAAATGAAACCACATAAGGCCAACTATTCGATTGGCATCCAGTCAGCAAACCAGGAAATGTGTCACATCATTTGGTTCCTCGGACTCTGTTGCATAGTGTTGGGAATAATCAAAAGAATTCATTTGGGATAATTGCTTTATTCATTTGTTGTGTTTAAATGTTTTCCCTTTATTTCCAAACCTACTACATTATGCAAAGCACTCAGTAGAAGTAGGAGAAGGAAAGAAGGAAAGAAGATGAAAGAAGGAAGAACATTGTGGGTTCACAATGCTTAGTAAAAATCAGGGATAGAGTTAGGGTTCTATGGAAAACAGGTTCCATGACCGAAAAAGTGGGGGAACTCCTGATCTAGATAGGGCCAAAAGCAAGGGAAATGGTCTGGCAGTCCATGGAGCAGGGCTGCAGGTGCTTACCTGGCCCACAAGCACCTGTCACAACTACCTGTGCTCCAAGCTTTACCACTATAACTTTGCTCCTGATGCAAGAAGTGTGTGTGTGTGTGTGGGAGCACTGGTAGGAATAATCTCCCTCCCCCAGTGTATGGGGGTGCTTATTTGAACACCCCTTGATTCTGTCTTAGATTCTTTCTGATTCTGAAGTCATGCAGAAGCTTATCATAAGGCTGAGAAACCCGTTGCACCGATAAAAAAATGGTAAGCCTTCTGTCTTGGCTTTCTTAAAATTAAAGCATCATGTGGGGAGTCAGAAGGTTCTGTTTCTTTAGGGACAGTGCCACCTACTGTTTCCAAGCCGACAAAGTTTGAGGCACATCAGGGTTTCCAGGAGTCCTACTGAGGATTCCAGTCCATTTATTTGTAGTGTGGCAAATGCACATGTCAAAGGAATGCAAGGATGGGTGCAGGGAAGACATGCCCCCCCCAACAAAAAAAGCCCTTATGAAACAGCTTCAGGCACAAATCTATGGTCTGCAAACTGCTCAACTGATTGTAGGAAAAGGCAGAATTCCCGCTGCAACCTCAGAAAATCCTTCTCAGGCCGCAGCAGGGGAGTCCGGCTCTACCCTCTCAGTGGGCCTGATTCTTTGGGCAGCTGCCTTCCGGACAGGCCCTGGAGGGGGCATTCGGGGGCAGGAAGAGAGGAGCAGAGCACTGGCAGCCTCCTCCAAATTCAAGCGGTGCCTCTGCCTCTTCTCGTGAGGAGGGGGGGAATATTTGGATGGTCACCATTTGCCCTCTATATGATTTCGAGGATGAGGGGGGAGCAGAGACCTCTGCGCTTCTTGCAGACACAACCAGATGCTTGTAATCTTCCAGGCACATAGGATTGCACAGAACTGCTCAGGATGCTATATGTTTTGATTTTACTGTAAATGCCTAAGAAATGATATACACCCCCATATCATTTATCTCTGTAAAAGATGTTTAAACCTCCCTTTCCGGGTGCTCCATTCACACAGAGTGTCTTGCAATATGAAGCAGGAATGACATGTTAAAATGAAACACGCATCCCGCAGGGGCAGCAGCTGATGCTGAAGGATGAAGCACCAGATGCAGACTGGAAGAAATGAGTGGTGAAAGGTTTTTGCTTTGGTTTGTCTTTGAAGGGAGGAGGCCATTGCTGGGGGGGGGGGGGGTTTTCCAGATGTGTGGAGCCACTACCAACAAAGCCCTACAACAAAGCCCTTGCCATCCTTACAGTTCTTCCCAGGTGACCCAGATAGATGCAAAATATTTAATAGAGAGCCTATCAGGGCCATCTTAATGCACAGGCCTGATGGGCACTTGCCCGTGGGCCCCATACTAATCTGTGTATGTTAACCCTTGGAATATTGGAAAACTTCCAAAATTCACAGTAGTTGTAGTTGTCGCAGGGGCCCCAGTACTCTGCTTTGCCCCGGGCCCATAATGCTGTTAAGACGGCCCTGGAGCCTATATACACATACACACACCCTTTTAATTAGGTGTTATAACTAATCCAGTGAAATACCAGAATGAATGATCTTGTTAATTGTTCAAGCTAAAGCAGGGCTTCCAATTCCTGCTAACTGCAGTAGCAACTAACTCAGTCACTAATAGCACTGATTATTACTAAGTAGTAAAATAGTTAACAATGGAATAGTAATTCATAATTAACAAGCATTAACACTAAATAACACTCAGCAATTATTAATACCAATTCATAGTGTTTAATAGTTGCAAATACTTAATAAAATAATAAAGAGGCGGAATAAAAAAAAGTCGGATTCTTCCTGCGATCCCTTTCCAAGGCTCTGCTCCTCTGTGGACGGACCGGTGCATTCCTACTCCACGTCCACGCAGACTAAAACTCAGTCCCGCTTACTCCCGGTAAGAGCGTATATACAGGACTTTGAGCGCCCCCAGGCGCTTTCTCTCCCCGCGCCCGGGGAAGCACTTGCCCGTGAGTGCGCCGCTTGTCCAGCATCTACGGCCGCAACGCCGCCGCCCGCCCGCCCGCCGCGGGAGAGGGGCGAGCCGCGCTCCCGAGCGGGCGTTGCGCTGCCCGGTGCCGCGGAGCAGCCGCCGCGCGGTCCTTCCCCGCACCACCCCTTCGACATGGACGACCTGAAGATGTGAGTCTGCCCCCAGGGAAGCAGCGAGCCCCCTCCCCCAGTTTGGAGGGCGGCTCGGAGCCTTTCACGGCACCCCGAAATTGCTCCCTCGCCCAGCCTGGTGTCTTCCAGACGTGTTGAACTTCAGTTCCCATCCGCCTCAGCCTGCACGGCCTGTGGCCGGGCGACTTGGGGGTTGTCCTAAACAGTCTGGACCAGAGCGGAGTTTAGCCCTTAGAATATCTTTCCCGAACCTGGATGTGTCAGACCACCACACCCCGCATCCTGTAAGTGCTGGGCGTTGTAGTCCAACGCAATTGGTTGGTACCTGGTTGAGCAAACGCTCTGTAGAGTCACTTTACATACGCCTGCCTTAGGTATTTGTAATTCACAGCACCACCCTGTACAAGTCTACTCCAGTGAAAGTCTGTTGAGTCCTTGGGATTTACACCAAGGTAAATGGGTGCACTATTGAACCCTTAAAGAGCTGAAGAAGGTGTGAGTCGCCCGGAGAGCCCCTGAGCTATCGGGCAGCATACAGATCCCATAAGTGAATAAGATAATTGCATCTTATCCATCCACCCACTAACCTGTGCAATTGAGTTTAGGACAGGCTGATGTATGGATGAATATGTAAATATCTAATAGGATGCATCGTCCCTATATAACATCTAGTTCTTGTAACAGAGGAGTTTAAAGGCATAAGCAAATAATACTTAGTTTTTGCTTCTCCTCATCCCCTGGAATAAAACAGGGGAATGTGATTCAGCAACTTGGTTCAGTCTTCCTAGTTTCTGTTTAGCCTTTGTCACTGTTAGGGGCCTGAAATACCTATTTATTCAGGGCACAATCCTATGCGTGTTTAAACAAGGAAAGAGTCCTGCAGCTCCCAGCATCCCCCAGACAGCCACGCTGGCTGGTTAACACTGGGAGTTGTAGGCCCTTTCTGTCTAACCTCTCCCAGAATTGCACCTTTAATCAATGCAGTAAGGTCCACCCCATTAAACTCAGCAGGACGTACATCTGCATAGCCCACCACAGAGGGATTGATGTGCTTTATTTATTTTAGGCTGCCCCTTCAGCAACACAGTAATAAAATGTCACATATCTTAGACAAGCAGGCTCTTTGTGAAACATGGCAGCAGGTTTTCCCCTATTTATTTTGAATGCCGTAGTAGATGTGAACTTTTTATCTTGTGTTTTTGAGCAGAACTACAGATCAGGAGTGATGGTACGAAGGTTATGGGAACAAAGCATACCAAAAATACCCACTTTCAAATTGTTCCCGTGATGGATCACACGGTGACCGAAAGAACCCACAACACCTAAAAGTGGCAATTTGGAGCTTATAGATCAGGGAAGTAATACAGGATAGTGCAGGCTTTTCCATTTATATGTTGGAACTGCTAAACCAAGAGAGAGAATTGTGAAAAGGGTGAAAAATATTGTGTGGCTACCATGCAAAAATGCAGAAAATTAAAAACATCCAGACAGCTGCTAATACAACGTGGCCTTTGTATTTCCCAAATTATTTCAATATATTTTAAATCTTTTTTTTTCAATCCTTCTAAAAAAGCTGATCCCAATCTGAGTGGACGCTGTCCTGCCAAGGCTCTTAAAACACAGGCCATTTCAAATGCAATAATTTTAGTGTCCACATTTGAAATTTTTCTCCAGAATATGAAGCTTGATGACAGACTCACACTAAATTGTGAAAGACGCAGTGCCCCCAAAAAACAACCAACAGTAACTCCCAAATCCTGGTGTGTGGATATTAGCATTGCATTCTTGCTCTTCTGCTGATTCCCCCGCCCCCAGATGTTTTACTCTGAGTAAGCCCATGACTATATATAGCTTGGTACGCACACCTAGGATTTCTGCTACTCCACAAGAATTCCATCTAACTGCCTCTATCAACTGCCAGCAAGTTTTCTCCTTTTAAAATGAAACATTCTAAAGCAGACTTCTCTGATCTGGTGCACAATGGCTAGTTTGGGCCACCACTCCCATCCTCCCCAGCCTGCACTGGGCACAATGGGAGTTGAGGTCCCAAACCCATCTAAGAGTTCTAAAGTGGTACAAATGACTTAAGAACTCCTTCATAAGATGTTTGGACTTTCTTGCTGTGCTCTACCTAGAAAATATTAAAATTAGACTCCGTCAGGTCCCATTTCCAGGTAGAAAATAGTGACAATGTTTAGTGACAATGTTTAGTGACAAGATCAGTTCATAATTTTCTGTAGGTTCATCAGGTGCCAATTTTCCTGGTTTTTCAGTTCCTAATGAAAGCATAATTTTTCCAATAAGTGTTTCCAAGGAGGTAAAATTTTCTTTTGTTTGCAGAAATGTGTAGCCCACCATTGGCTATGCTGGCATTATAAAAATATTTGTACCATTTTGGTTTATCAAGCAGACATTTCTCTTAATGCACATGCTTTATAATATTGTTAATATTAGCTACCCATGCAGAACCATTGTTACAACAACAACCTTGTGAGGTAGATTAAGCTGAGAGTGACTGTCCAAAGGTAGCCAGTGAGCTTCATGTCTGTTGACCAAATGGCGACCAGAACTCGGATCTCTCAGGCCCTCAGTCCAACGGTGTAATCACCATACCACATTCTCTGTTATAATGCCCGTATATTGTAGTTTAAATCTCTTCGTGCAAGTAACTAAGCCTTTGAAGAAGAAAGCTCTTTAGCCTTTTAAGATAGGGGAGAAACTGGACAAAAAAGCTGGGAAGTCACCAAATAATTGGCGATTGGGGGATTATGGGAAGGGCTCTATGAGGAATTCAGAAAGACTAAATTGAAACCCCAAGGGGATAAGATCTGGGCATGAGACACAGGTTCTGCATCTTGGAGTCACAGCTTGACTGATATTGATGCTGTATAAACAGGTAATCAGAAGATTGGTCTGTTGCTTCCCTGGATGGAGTTTGCTAGCACAACATCTGGTGGACTATCTAGAATCCCTGGCACACCATGGAGAAAGCTGCACAAAAGGACCGAAAATCTCATATGCACGCTAAGCAGGTCTCCAAAGCAGTTGAGCCCAAACCTGACACCAGTAAGCAAACCCTGCAGAAAGTGAGCAATAAAACCGTGATAACTGGAGGTGCTGGAAACTTCGGGTTTACCCTCGGCCGTGCTTTTGCCAAAACAGGAACGCACGTCATTCTCTATGATATTAACCAGCCACCCTGGGAAATCCCCAAAGGAGTTGTGCACATACAGGTACTTCGCATTTCTGGTTTGGATCAGCTTTCTTGTTCTGAAGTGACCAAAAAGTTGCTGGGATGTTGTTGTGTTGTTTAAATGTCAATAGATCTGTTGGAGTCTGTAAAGCTGATGGAGGTTCTGAGGAGGCAAAGTCGGAGAGGGCAGGAGCATCCCCGTACAGCAGAAGTCCCAAGGCTGCATTCCCGTGAGCCCCAACTCCACTCCATCACTGCTGGTGGCTTGGAAAAAATCTCCTCCTCCAAACCCAGTGACTCACGAGCTTTCTGCTTATGCTCGTACAGGCTGATGTGAGAAACTATGACGATCTCTATGCTGCCTGCGAAGGAGCCGATTGCGTTATCCATGCCGCTTCGTATGGAATGACCGGGGTAGAACAAGTGAGTTTGCTCGTTCGAAGCACGGGCCTTTTGGATCAGATCGGTCATTACGCATGCTCAGATACGGGGGGGGGGGGGAGATGGTAGATCTGGACCCACTGCAGGAGCATAAATCTGGGGGCCCAGGGGCCAAATGTAGCCTTCTGGGAATTCCCAGAGGGTCGTGCCCACTTCCCTTGCTTCAACCGCTTTTCTCCCACATATGGATCCCTATCTTTCCTTCCCCCATTCTGACGGGCATGGATGCTTCTCCTAAGGCTTAGTTAGTGCTGTCAGCGTAAAAGGGGCTGTCCTATTTGGGCATTTTGGCCCCTCCCCTTTTGCCTTTGGCCCCACCCACCTCCAGAAAGCAGCCCCTGAAAGCTCCTCTGAGAGGGGATTCGGTGCTTGCAGTGGGAAAGGATCCACACCCCTCCTTCAGGGAGGCTGCCCAACAGCACACGCCTGGCAGCAAAGCACCAGGGACTTGAGGGTGTCGCCCTCTCCATGAGTCTCCATGCTGCAAGCCAATAACCACACAGTTGTGTGGAAACACCTGGAGGTCCACACAGGAGGACAACCAAAGACTGTTGGCCCACAACGGTCAAGGGTCTCTGGTCATTGTTGCTTCGGTGGGACTGAGCCCCAGATATTTAAGTACTTAGCACCAACCCTGGTCACAACATGATAGCCCCTGTGCCTCATGAATAGCCGCTTGTGATGGATCAAGTTCTTCCTGTATTTGGTGGCCAAGTGGTAGTCTAAAAGGTCTTTCCCCTCTCTCCAGCCTGCATCTTGTCCCCTTCCAGACTTGGCACTTGGGGACCATATTCTCGTAGCCTACCAAGCTGCCAAGCCCTGACAGTCTCCAGGAACAAAAAGAAGTTGCCATGTAGAAGTTTCCATTGAGAAGGCAAGACTCCCTGGAGAAGAGCATCATGCTAGGGCAAGTCAAAGGCAGGAGAAGAAAAGAAAGACCAACTAGGGTTGACTCCATAAAGGCAGCCCCAGGCTTGAGCTTAGAATAGCTGAGTGGGGCTGTGGTGGACGGGACGTTCTGGAGAGCTTCCATTCATGGGGTCACCATAAGTCAGAGACGGCACATCACAGCAACAAAGCAGCTTCGATGGTTTTATCCATTTCTTCCAAAATTCTTGCTCAAATTGTTCAGAGGGGCTGTTCAGAGTTTCCAGCAGAGGTGATTGTTCCATGTAACTTGAGATGCCAGAGGTGGAAACCAACATAGTTGACAGGTGCTCAACTGCAGAAGTCCCTTTGCGTCTTCTGCTGCTACTTCTCCTTCTCATCCTCTACTGTATGGCAGCCAGAGTGTTGTTTCGGGGGTTGTTTGTTGAAATAAAAACACGATTAAGAAGGGATAGGTTCTTTCGCTTTTATTATAGCAGCAGACCTGAAACCACCCCTTTCTGCCCTTTTTTTAGCTGTACAAGAAACAGATTCGGTCTGTCAATGTTGGAGGAACCGGAGTGGTCCTTGAAGGTGCGTAGCAGAGCTTTACATGCCCCCAGGCGGACAGTGACCCCCGATAAGAATGCATGAGAAATACGACTTATTTCAGTTTCGATCAGAATTTACCTATTTTGCACGTTCTGAGCTAAATATAGACCCAGGCAAATCTACAGTTCAGGTCTGTAGATTTCCAGGTTTGTAATGTAATTCTTGATGCAGGTGGCACAGTGGTTTAAACCGCTGTGCTGCTGGGCTGGTTGATCGAAAGGTCGCCGGTTTGAATCTGCACAACGGGGTGAGTTCCCGTTGCTCCGTCCCAGCTCCTGCCAACCTTGCAGTTCGAAAGCATGCGAATGCAAGTAGATGAAAAGGTACCACTTCGGTGGGCAGGTAACAGTGCTCTGTGCACTTCGGTGTTTAGTCATGCCGGCCACATGACCACAGAGACTGTCTGCGTACAAACGCTGGCTCCCTCTGCTAGGAAACGGAGATGAGCACCGCCCCCGAGAGTCAGGCATGACTGGACGTAACGTCAAGGGGAAACCTTTACCTTTTACCTTTAATGTAATTCTCAAGCCCAGAAATATGCATTGGGCCATGTGCAGACATTCGACAAAGGGTGCAGGAAGAAATCCATGCTTTTGGAAACTGCTCACAGATGCACTTTAATCAGTGGGAGAAGGCAGCATGTGCTTTTCAAGGAATCACACGAGTGCTTGGCAAATCCGCGCCTCTGCCATGTTTCAGTCCCTCGACCTGGCAGCCCTCTGGCAACACCGCTGCACCTTCCAGGTGTGTCGGGCTACACCACTTATATTTACCTACCCAGACACTGTGGTCATAATCTGAGGCCCTCCTCCAGGTGCCTCTGCCAAAGGTGACCGGGCGAATAGCAGCAAGAGACGAGTCCTTTTCAGGACTGGTGCCCCTTTTGTGAGGTGCAAACCCTTTTGGTGCCAGGTGGAACCCTCCTCCTTCTTCTCCAGGGCATTTTAAGATCTGTTTTTTGGCCTTGGAGAAGGAGGAGGAGGGTTCCACCTGGCACCAAAAAGGTTTGCGGGTGGCTGCCCTTTACTTGCTCCTGGTTTTCCGTGGGCTTTATGTGCAGGAGTGAATTTAAGCATCCGCTGCTGATTTATTGCGGTTTTCTTATGCCCGGCTTTTATTCGTGGCGCCTGTTTCACATCTTGAAAGTGCGGCAGAGAATTTGGGTCACTGGTCACTTTGATAACCAAATGGGTAAAAGCACCCTCAGGCGGGGAGGATGGGAACTGTAGTTGAAGAGGGGTCCCAACTCAGTGGCAGCCATGGGTGCCGGTCAGCCTCGGCAGTGCTGGCTTAGATGGACCAGGGGTCTGACTCAGCAGCGCCCCCTGTGTTCGTATCCCAGCCCCTCTGGAAAGGGCCCGCTCCTGTGACGGATGCTCCACAGACTCCCCAGTGTGGTTGATTCCAGTCCCATGACAAACAGACTCCCCAGTGTGGTTGATTCCAGTCCCACAACCCGCCGTCGTCCTGCAGCCTTTTTCCTGCCTTCTCACACAGCAGTTGGCTCGAATGCTTGTTCTCCCCTTAGTCTGCAAGCGCCGGAACGTCCCCAGGCTGATCTACACCAGCAGCATCAACGTGGTGTTTGCGGGACAGACCATCCTAGACGGCGACGAGGCGAGTGTGCCGTATTACCCCTTGAACAAGGTACTTCTCCACCGGGCTGGCTGGGGCAGGGCTGGGGGGTGTGGTCTGGCACACCTGGAGGGCCCCACATTGGGGAAGGCTGCTTTGGTCACTGGGCTGAGCTTCTGGAGGGAAGAGCTGATCTCTGTGCCCAGGTCTGCGGCGATTTCACACCTGCAAAGTGGTGCCCGTGGGCACCCATTCCCCCCTGCACCCCCCCCCGCGGCTGCCCACGAGGCTCCACGCACACATAATCCTGATTGTATTTCACGATTTCTTGAAATTTGACGGAGAGGTTGCCACACCGCTTGTTTTAATAAATAATAAATAAATAAGTGTGAAGAGCTGCTTTCTAGCACTATCTTTATTCGGATTATTTAAAAAATAAAGCGGGTGTATGTTCCGTACTTCACTTCCACCTCGGGCTTAGATTCTGGGGCAAGTTAGTTATCGTTTCATCTGCAACCTTGCCTTCTGGTCAATGAGTGTTTTGCGACTGGCTGGCACAGCAGCCATTTTATGAATGGGTAACGAGCACTGCCGGGCAATCATGTTGTGAGGGCGCCCACGACACTCTCTTTACATTGCAAATGCGCTTACTGACCCAGAGGGTCTGCGAACCCCTGTTTTTGGTGTAGCATTACCTGCCTGGAATCTTCTCCCTCAGAAAATCTAACAAGTCATCAAACTTAATGAATGAATCAAAATGGTTCCATTTTGCACTTTCTTCTTAGCACCGCAACGAATATTCCAGAACCAAATCTATTGCAGAACAGATGGTTCTAGCAGCCAATGGATCTTTCCTAGCAGGTACTTTTCTCTAAACTTTGGTGCATCGTGTTTAAAGTTCAGGAGGACCTTCTGCCATTGATTTCAACCGATCAGGGAAAGGAAAGCAGCTAAAGACGGAGTTGCCACTCCAGTGAATCACCCAGACAGCTCCTATATGTGGAAGGGGGCTGCTCCCCTTTCTCCATGAACGATCTACCCCGCTGGATTTTGGGGGACTTGAAAAATATCACCTGTCTGTCATTTGCTTCCTTCTCAGACCGAGCACAGAGGGGAGGGGAGCTTTCTAAGTGCCCGAAGGTCCCCTGCTGGAGATGAATCACTGGAATTAAACCCAGAGCTTATTTTCTCCAAATGGGCCACCCTTCCCTTTCCTCCTGCCGCACTGTCATCCACAGAGTGGTCCCTGCATGTCTGAGGTGTAATGTCGTTTTAGCAAGTACATGTTAAACGGCTTAGGGCCTGGCTACCTGAAGGAGCGTCTCCTTGCCTATGTGCCTGTCCACCCCTTCAAATCTGGGGCTGCCCTCCCTGAAGGAGATTAGAAGGGAGACTACCCAGAGAAGGGCCTTCTCTGTGGTGGTGCCTCGATTGTGGAATTCGCTCCACAGAGAGGTTCGCCTGACTCCGTCACTTTACTATTTTTGGCACCAGGCTAAAACCTTTTTATTTCCCCTATGTTTTAAGATCTGATTGTTTTAATTGGGGTTTTATTGTTAGTTGAGTTTTTAGGACGCTGTGTTTTATTCTACATTTTGCATTGCTAAGCCACCCCGAGACTTCAGTAAGGGGCGGACTAGAAAAGTTATCAATAAATAAATGAATGAAAGCATCCAAGGGCACAGAAAGCGGTCGGGAAAAAGGCCTCCAACTCCCAGCATGCCGTTTTACTCGTGTTACGGCAGAGATTCGGAAGATGTGGCTCGCCGGCTGTATGCGGCCACTGTCCCATGTGCCACTGCTGCGGCCCGGTCAGAATATCTAGTGGCCCCCGAAATGCCTGATTTTCTACAACAAATTGCTATAGGATACTACAGTGGCGGAAAAAGGAGCGAAAGGTGGCCGTTGCCGCATTCCACAGTGCTTTGCCACTGAGCCCAGAGGACCAGCGGGAGAAGGGCTGCTCATGGAAGGGTCTCTGGGCATGGGGAAAGGCCCCCAAGGGTTCCGGAGCTGCTCACTCAGGGGTTCCTTCTGCCGTGCAGGTACACCTTCCCTTTTGAGCTGGGCTTCCAGTTCCGCAGCAGGACCACTGTGGACTCCCTTCAGGGCTCCGCAGTGTCAGCCCAAGGGACTCTTGATCCCAGCAAGGGGGTGCGATCACTGGGAGCCAACCACGTCTGTGCCATGGACACCTGTGCCAATCCTGCTCTGTCTTCTTCCTCAGGAGGTGGCAAGCTGTACACATGTGCTCTCCGCCCACCAGGCATCTATGGGCCAGAAGAACAACGACATTTGCCCCGCCTGGCTGTATGTATCTGTGCTTGCACATGGCTGTTCTCGGTACCCCAATCCAGCCACGGGAAATAGGGCTGTAGGAAGACACCTTCCGGGAGGGATACCTCAATGGCTGCCCCAGAGAAGAGGGCCAGAGTTTGTCTTCTGAGGCTGGCATGGGCCGAAGGTAGATTTCTAGATGTCTTGGACTTCAGCTCTCAGAAGCCCCTGCCAGCATGGCCAGTGGTCAGGAATGCTAGGACTTGAAGTCCAAAGCCTCTGGAGACCTACTTGTTGCCCGCCCCTGTCCTAAAGCTTTTCTACATGAGGTGGTTGATCCACTCTATTTAATTTCCTTTTCCTGGCAGGACTGAGATCCACAGGTCCCCCTTCCTAGCTTTCTCCTACATGACCTCTAGGTGGTGCTGTGGCAGAGGAGAACAGTGCTCATGCACACGTGGTGGAGAGTGTTTTCTTTCACTTTCAGAAATAGTACCACATTTTCCCTGCTGTTTAAAAAAAAAAATTGCCATAAGAGCTGTTTAAATATAGGAGTGAACCTGGAGAGTCATGACATCACCTAAAAGCACAAGAGTAGGGAATAACAGAGTGCAAAATAAAAGCTTCATGTAGACAATCCTGCCTTGAGGGTAGGATTATATCTATCAGCCTGAGTTACAGGAAGGAGTCTGGTTCACCTGAACCCTCTAGGAAAGGTGGGCTAGCATTCTGCATGTCCTCGTTGGCCGTGGGGGAGGTGGCCAGCATGGAGGTACTGAAGACTAGCCTCTTAGCCGCCTGTTGTAAGCCATCCAGAGACGCAGAGTGGTTTAATGCCACCTTTGCGATGTCTCGTTTCATGTGCCTCCACAGTTGATTATCGAGCGAGGGTTCTTCTTGTTCAAACTGGGGAGTTCGGATGTCCTGATGAACTGGGTGCACGTCAAGAATCTTGTGCAAGCACATATCCTTGCTGCTGCAGCTCTTACTCCAGAGAAGAACTACATAGCCGTGAGTGTCTGCAGCTCCCCGGGTTCTTCTTGTCCTCCCCCAGATCCCGGCACAACTGCACAGAGCGTGTGCAGTGTGGGAGAGCCCACCACCTCGCCAGGCAGCTGGTTCCACTGAGCAATACGGCAGTGGGACCAGCTGCCTGGAGAGGTGGGGGGCTCTCCCACACCAGAGACATTCAAGAAGAAACTGGGCAGCCACCTGAGCGGGATGTAAACTGGTGTCCTGCAACAGCAGGGGGTGGATTAGATGGCCTTCAGGGCCCCTTCCAACTCTTTTATTCTGTGAGAGGCCATTTTATACACTTGGGCACCTCCGTTTTCTTAACCTGCCATTAGGACCACGGCTCCCAGATTTCCCATCCAGTAGAACCACTGACTCGGGATTCTGGGAGTTGCAGGCAGAAGGCAGGGGAAGGCCAGTCCACACGGGGTGTTTCATCCCGCAAGGCAGGAGGAGAGCAAGGGCGCCCACAGAAAACCCTCAGGTGAGGTGCGAATGCGACAGCACCCTCCTGCCCATGCTCCCCAGCGTCCAGGGCACATGCACACACTGCCTGCGATACCGGTGGTGGCTTAGAGCCACCAGGGCTAGTGGCCGCTGATCGCTTTATCCCACATGGATTTGTCCAGCCCTTTGTACAGCTGTCAGAGTTGGCCATTGCCACCATCCTTATTTATTTATTTGATTTATATGCTGCTTTTCTCTTAGGAAAGCAAAGCGGCTTACACTCTCCTCCCCCTCCTGCTCTCCATCTCTATCCCCACGACAGCAACGCTGTGAGGTGGGTTGGGCTGAGAGTCTGTGACTGACCCAGATTCACCTGGTTGGCTCCATGCCCCAGCGAGGATTAGAACCCGGATCGTCAGAGTCCCAGTCTCGCACTTTGAACCACGGTGCCACAAAGGCTCTCACGCCCTCTGCCTCTTGTGGCAATGAGTTCCATAAGTTAACTTCGTACTGTGTCAAGAAGCCCTTCCTGGGATCCCTCCTGAATCATGGGCTGCCCCACGTGGTTCTAGTCCTGGAGATCGGAGGAAAACGTCTTCCTCTCGCTTTCTCCAAGTCATGCAGCCATGAGCTCCTTCTCCTGAGCTCAACGGTGCAGATTGTCGCGACCAGAAGAGAATCTGTTGCTCGGACAACCTCCCAGTCCCTGTATAAGAGCTGAACTGGCTGGGCTGGTTGAAGCCGAAGTCCAGCACCACTGGGGGGCTGTGGCCCGCTCAGCCCCTGGGCGAATTTGCACCACACGCAAGTCTTCCGGGGAACCTTTTGCGACCACTCGACAACACAGGGGCAACTGCAGCAGGGAGACGTCTGGCTCCGTTGGAATTCCCTGCAGGTGTAGCCAAAAGATTCCAAGTGCGATGCGGCCCCACGCAGCTTGGTTTTCTCATTTGCCCTTTCCTGGTATCTTTTATGACAGGGCGGGCAGGCGTATTTTATCCACGATGATGAAAAAGTGAACCTTTTTGAGTGGCTCTCTCCCCTGGTGAGTTCAAGAGCACTTTGCTTTGGTCGGAGGGGAGCAATCTTGTTTTCTCGGGGAGAACTGATGGGGGCAGGATGCCGCTTTCGGCCTTGCTTTCAGACAGCCCTCTTGGGTGCCGGCAGGAGTTTCTGCAGCTGTCCCTCTGCCAACGCTGGGGGCAAAAACAGGCAAGTCCAAGGGCATGTCGGGAGGTGCCAATGCTCTGCAGAGGAGTGGGGGATTTCAGGAGGTCCTGGGCCTATTTTGTCCCCTGGACCTCCGTCCGGCACAAGCTGCAGTCTGGAAAACAATCTTCTAAAAGAAAAAAAAGAAAAAAACTGCATCTGTAGCTGGTATGGAGAGCAGACCCCCAAATTTAGCTTGCGAAGGAGTTAAATTGGGCTTTTTTGGCGCTCTGCATTGCTGCTGATGACAGATTCCTTTCTTTTTAAAAAAGTTAGAGTGTGGGAAACAGCAGGACTGGGCCTCATGCCACCTGCAGCCCCATATGCCACCCATTCCTGATTGACAGGATCAGAGAAGACCTCAAATTTCCCTGCTCGTCCTCAGTGGAAGAGAGCGGGATATGGGGGGAACCACACACCACACAGTTGAAAGCTGGAAGGTTAGCGGGCTCCCCTCCCAGCCGCCCCCATCTTAGAATTGCTTCACCCCAAAGTGCAACCTCCTTTGTCTTCTAAAACCTTCAGGGCCCAGGGCTTTAGAATTTGGTGGGGCGCTGGCATAGCGGGGTCGTAACCCCTTGCCCGTCCATTGGCATGGCCAAAATGCAGGATCAAGGCCTTCTTAAGTGTTGCACTCAAGTCCTCCGAAGCGTCTCCTGCACCGCAATGGTCCTTAAGGTGCCACGAGAACTGTTCTGACGTGTAACTATTACAGTCCTTCCAACATGCAGGTCGGGCAAGGACCCAAACTGAGTTTCACATCCCGAAAGAAAACAGGAATGGGACACACACACATTCCCTCTATGCGATTGTGGTGCCACGATGCACCATCAGGTCACGTCCAACTTATGGAGACCCAATGAATGAATGAGTGCCCTCCAAAACGGCCAATCCGGGACTGTCCGGCTTGCAGAATAATTAGCGACTTGTGCACTGTGAAAGAGTTAATTCACGCTCTGAGGCTCTTCTCGCATCGGAAGCCCCTCGACGTCCCCATGCAAACCCAGCTCTCCAACCCCAGGAGGGGGAGAGGGAGAAGGAACGTCTTTTGGCCCAAGGGCTGCCTTTGATTTTGGAAATGCTCTTGAGGCTTTCTTCCTATGCGGAGCGCGGCTGAAACCAGAGTCCCAGCTCTTTCTGCCAGTAAGAAAGCCATTGCATTGCACGCTTTCACTCTTTCAAAACAGGATATGGGTGGGGGGGGAGTCCGTGCAAAACCCAGGAGACCGTAAATGCTCAGTGGTTGGAGGAAAGGGGGTGGGGTCAGTAGAAAGGGGTTTGGGAACCCCTGAGATCTTGGTGGACCAGATGGGGCCCCCAGGCCTGAAGTTCCCCATCCCAGGCCTTGAACCTGCCTCAGATGGACAGACCCACCCCAAGAAAGCAGGGGACAGACCACTGGTGCTGCTTCTCTTGGCTGCCCCTCTCCCATGATCCTGGCCACTTAGCAAGGGGCTGGAGACCCTTGGACACCCACACCGGCTCCAGCTCCTTCTGTTCTCCTGCTGTGAGTCTTCAGCCAGCCAGCAGAAGCAGAAGTGTTGGCTTTCTCTCTGTCCACCCCAGTGCCAATATTTGTCTTTCAGTTCGAAGGTTTGGGTGTCAGCAAACCATGGATGCGTCTTCCCATTTGGCTTGCTCAGCTGTCAGGTAAAATATTCATTTGCCTGAATATTTTTGATTGCTAGGTAGGTAGGTAGGTAGGTAGGTAGATTAATTGATGTATACCAAACTTGTTTTCCCTGCAAGGACCCCAAGGCAGGTGTCACAATCCTCTTCCTCCTCTCAATTTGATCCTCACAACGACCCCGTGAGGCGGGTTGGGTTGGAAGCCCCACGATTGGCCTGGAGTCACCCAGCGAACTCCATGGCTGAGTGAGGACTGGCACTCGAGTCCCCCCCTTGCTTTCACCACTCGAGAGGCACACCAAACCGTGGCCAGGAACTGGGTCAGCTGGGCTCCTGCCCAGGCCCTCTCCGCCGCCTTTCCCCCTTCTCCCACCTCCTCTTCTTCCTGGCCGGGGGTTCTCATGACAGCCGTCTCTCCTCCCTCTTTGTGGCAAACCTTTGTATGCTGCAACACCCAAACCAGGCCGACGGCGCTGTGCCGCAAGCCCCTTTGTCCGCAGGGCCCAGTTCAGAGCCCTGAATGAACACGGCGTCCCCCTTGACAGCCACTGAACTCATTAGCACATCACCTCAACATGCGGCCGTGTTTACCCCAGGGCTCAGCCACGCTTGCTTGGTCTGCCAAGGCATCAACGGCGGGGAGAGCAATCCTGTGGCTGCTAGAAGGAACCTCCAGGACCGCAGGGTCGTTGGGGCCTCGTGGCTGGGCACCTGCGGTCCGGTCGCCCTCCCTGCCTTTTGCACGGGCTGCTTCTCCAGAGTTGCAACGGCGACCTGCAGCAGGGCTGCTTGGGCTCGGCAGAAGGAGAGTCCCACTGCCAAGATACACCATACCCGGCCCTTTTCCCTCCTGCTGCAAGGCCCCAGACTTATATATTTAGAGCTATATTTATTTATTCTATTTGGAGTTTTTGTATGCCGTCCCATTCGCATAAGCCTCGGGACAGCTTCCATACAATAAATAAACATAAAAATAGTATACATAAAATCTATATTCACCCTGGCTGTAGAATTAAAACCAATAGATGATATTACAAGTTGTTAAAATATTGTTTAAATAAAAAGGACTTGGCCTGGCGCCGAAAAACAAATAACGACGGCGCCAGGCAGACCTCTCTGGAAGCACATTCCACAGGTGGGGTGCCACCGCAGAGAAGGCCCTCCTCCAGGTACTCACCCTCCTAATATCCTTCACAGAAGGTTTCCGGAGGAGGGCCTCTGCCACCAATCTCAAGGGGCAGGAGGGCAAATATGGAAGCAGGCGTTCCTTTAAGACTGCACCTACCAGCAAGCCACTCAGTTGTAACTCTTTGTTTGTTTGTTTGTTTGTTTGTGAAGCACTGTTAAGGCTTAGTTCAAGATCCTGCAAGCAGCAAAGGGTCATAGCTCAGTGCTGGAGCTGTGTGATGCTTGGACCACGGATGCGCTTGCGTGGCACCTCCAATATCTCTCAGCTGAGCTGTGGAAGACCCCCGTCTGAGGGTTTCTCTACCCGCGGTGTTTTATCTCCCATCCTCCTTCCATTTTCCTTGTAGGAAGAAAAGTACATTCTTTGATCAGTTCCCTCCCTCCACACAAACATCTGCCTGTGCTTATATTCTGTTCACCAACCCCCAGCAGCACTGTGGTTTAGCTGTAACAGAGCGGAACTGCGATTCTGCATGAGGCTTTCATTCTGTATTGTTCCAGTTAATGTTGCGCTTCTTCTTTACAAAATTCCCCTGCAAAAACGGTTGGAAAACACGGGAGAGGCCCTGGAAGAAGCATGCAATGGGAAGGCTCCCAAGGCCATGCATATGAGGGATAAATTCCTCGCGTAGAGAAGCCCTGAAAATCTGGGGGCTGCAGCCTCCCTGCAGGCTGGGGCCCTCCAGATCTTTTGGACTTGGGCTCCCACCAGCTCAGCTGGCCCGGCAAGTTGTGCAGGGCACCTGGGCTAGAGGGCAGAGCTTTCCCACGCTCCTCCCGGGACCACCATGCCGCTCTCAAACGGTTGCTTTCTTTCATACAGCGCTCATAATGGAAAGTGTGGTCAGTCTTGTAACGCCATTTCTCGAACTTGTCCCGCTCATCACCATGTACGAGGTGAGGCCTGGCTGCGTTTTTACTTACTGCTTGATGATGATTTACATTTCTCTACCATCCATAGCCAAAGCTTCCCGGGCAGTTCCCAACAGGATATAAAAACAATAAAATACAATACATAAAGCAGCATTTAACAATCAATTAAAAGACCATGAAAAGACAATAAAAAGGCCTTACCGAGAAGAGAGGGAGGGACGGATGGACGGACGGACACCAGGACAAACCCATCAGGCTCCTGAATGACGATGGCGATCTTTAAAGGCCTCCCCAGAGAGGGCTGTCTCATCCTGGCACCAGAAAGATGGCCAATTTGGTGCCAGGTGGGCTGTAGCGGAAAGGTTGTTCCAAAGATGAGAGGCCACCACAGAAAAGGCCCGCCCCCAAGTTGCCATCCTCCGAGCCTCCTGATAGGTCGGCACCTAGAGGAAGGCCCCAGAGGTGGAGTGTCGTGTCCAGGTAGATGGGGGTTGGAGAGATGCTCTGACAGGTATTTGACCAAGGGATCCGTGCCCCCACCTGTCACATGAAACAGATTCCCAGGGCTGCGTATAAGTAGTTCAGAAATGGCTCAACCTTGCCTGGGGCCTTTCCAGTGCCAGGTGGAGACTTCCCATTAGGCAGCCTTAATCTGTCCGATTCTGCTTCAAACCTCTTGATAAGTATCATTAAAGCTTTGCATTGCTACAAGGTTTCCCTTTAGGTCTTAGAAAAGAAGAGAGAAGTCGACAGAGAAGTAAGATCTGGTTTAGAAGGAGCAGCGGAGGTGCTGTCCTTCTTGCCAGTCCTTTCTTTTGTGGTGGGAGAAGACATCATGTTCACATCACAGGTTCCTCCGTGGCTTTCTATGGGAAGCTTTTGCTTCTGCCCTACCGGTTGATGGCCAAGAACAGAAATAGGAACTCCCTTTTCCAACAGGACGTTCAGGGGCTGCTCTTCTCCAGACGTCTTTCAGCTAGCTTAACTCTTGTCATCTGAGAAGCAAAGGGCGGGGGGAGCAAGCCAGGGCACCTGCTCATGTACCAGGCCGTTTTCTCCCCATCCCATCTGTTTGTTCTCTGTCTCATGCCTTTTAATGCTACCAAAATGGGGGGCGGATCCTTCATTTTTTATTTTATTTATTTTTTTGGATTTATATCCTGCCTTTTTCCTACAAAGGGCTCAAGGCAGCTTACATCATTCTCCTCCTCCATCTTGTCCCCACAACAACAACCCTGTGAGGCAGGTTGGGCTGAGAGTCTGTGACTGGCCCAAAGTCACCCTGTTGGCTCCATGGCTGAGCGGGGACTAGAACCCAGATCCTTTGAGTCCCAGTCCCATGCTCTTAACCACTACACCACATTGCCTCTCTTGTTTTTGATTTGCAGGTGCACAGTGTGGCTTGCACACATACCTTCAAAATAGATAAGGCGCGTGCTCACCTGGGCTATGCCCCGAAGAAATACTTATTTGCTGACTGCATAGAGCACCTTTTGAAAAAGAGACCTCGCCAGAAGAATTATTTCTGGCTAAACGTCTTCTTCCTGATGGTCTTCCTCATCGGTGCGATTGTTCTAGCTTTGAAATCCTCAGTGGTTGTGAACTTCCTCCAGGTTACCTGGGAAAACATCCCCCAGGTTATCTTGGAGAATATGCAGTCTCTTCAAAAAATAAGTCAGCTATGATCCATCACGAAGACAAAGGGGAGAATACCATCTTGGCACACAGGACCTGCATTCCAACACCATTTCTTAGCTCCAAGAGCCTAAGCAAACAGCTAAATTAAGAGCAATGTTAAACAAGATAGCGCCAATTGTTATGAAGTGGCAAACAGACAGAAATCACACCTCCAGGAACTTTCACTGCCGTTGTTTTAGACCAAGAGTGCCCTGCTTCAGTTGGCTCTTTGGCCATTTGTTGGGTTTTTCCTTTTTTCCTCAAACTGGAAGAGGGGGCTTTAAAAATGCATACACAAAAGGGGTTACATACAAACAGTGCTCTACGGGAACATCAAGGTGTCCTGCTGGCACATGTTTCAATGACGAATGAAACCAGCCAAGAAAGAAATCCAGGAAGAAATCAAGAAGGAAATGCCAGCAGCCCATTTATAGCTTTTGTGTACTGCCAAAATGGACCACCTAGCATACCTTATCAGCTTCAACACAGGAATGCAAATGGTCTGAAAATAAATGCACACCGGAAAAAAAAATTCCACGTCTGTCTTTTCCAGGGCCAAAGGAAACACTAAGAACCTGTCCAGGGTTCTAAACTGTTCACACAGAAAGGAAAATCCATTCTATATGTCATGGGCATTGAGCCTCTTTCAACTGGTGGGACAAATTCCATTTTGGAAAAAGCTGATGGACACATTCCCGTGGTGGGTGGGCCACAGGCCAAAGTGGAGAGGCAAAATGCCATCGTATTCTAGCTTAAAGCTCTTGCTACCCCTCAGCTAACTTCTGAACCTGGGCCTAGCAGATGCTCACAGGAAGGTTACAAGAACTTCAGAAAAGTCTGGCTGGATCAGACCATTTGATCCAGCGTCCTGCTCATGCAGTGGCCAACCCACTGACCAGAAGACATGAGTACAATGAGAAGATCCAGCCCATCTTCCCCAGTAACTCATGAATAGGCCCATAGTCTCTGATTCTGGAGGTAGCTTAGAACCAGCAGACCCCTTGGCCATAAATAGTTTTCACCTCCGTGAATTTGTCCAGTTCTCTCTCAAAGCCAGCTAGAATGGTGGTCATCCCTACATCTTACAGAAGTGAACTTGATAGTCTATGTGTTGTGGGGAAAAGTCCTTCCTTGGATCCGTCCTGCAGCTCCCCCAATCAGCCTCACAGGAGTCCAGTGTTTGGAGGCGGGAAGGAAAATGTCTCCCTGCCCACATTCTCCACACCATGGCATGATTCTGTGCCCCTTTCTCATGTCTACCCTCCCTTGCTCTTCTGAACTAAACAATTAAACTAACCTTCCCAGTCAGGTTACTCTCTTAAGAAGTGGCTCAAGAATTCTCCTTCATTCCTCTGGTCCTAGCATCTCCACCCGTCCCCGGGAGTGTCATCTTGTGCCACTACCAATTTTTTCTGCCTGGGCTCTTTTTCTGAAGTATGTACATTTTGCTTAGGCTAGCTGACGTGTGTCCCAAAGTCCTTGCTGTTTCCCAAGGGCACCTCTGTGTTCTGCCAGGAGGCAGGGGTTCTTTTGGGATTTGGAGGCAATGAGGACGCCAGTAGGTGAAGGAAGAGTAATGCTTTATTTAAGGAATGAAAGTATCTGCAGCCAAACAAAACAGCATTTATTCCTTGCAAGATTTACATCTTCTCTCCTTCAGCTGCCTGGAACCCCGGCCAGGCAGCGAGAGAGACCCCAGGCCATCAGTCACAGCATCCGGCACCTGATCTGTGTAGAAGCTCCCAAATTCAAGCTCTCACCCCCCTGGTTTTATAGTTGAATGCTTCTGCCTCACAAGCTCCCGTTCTATGCATGCCCAAGACCTGGCCTTTGAGCTAAACAACTCCAGATTAATCTAGGATCCTCCCGAATGCTCTATGCTTGGAACACAGCACTGTCTTCTGGCAAGGGGAATGTAAAAAAAGAGAAAAACACATTCCATTGTAACCGAAGAACTCAACATACTTGATAAGGGCAGTATGAGGGAAAATGAGAGATACCAGGCCTAACTCCTTGCCAAACAATGTCTTCCACATGTTTCCAATACACCCTGTTTGTAAAACAAGAGGTCTGGCCATGGGAGAAGAAGGCATTTAATGTCAAGGGAGATTTTCTGCCCTTGGACAGAAAGGTTTCTGGCAGAGCAGCCAAGAGCTGGCACATCCAGCGGGATCCAGTGCAACAGCGATCTGCAGGGGCCTTTACTCCAGCAAGTGTCCACGGATGGTGGGGTGCTGGACAGGGGCCTCCCAGAGTTCCAGGGCTGCGAATGAAAGATTCAGGACTCCAGCCATGGTGAGCCACTCCTGAAACGCTGCCTCTGTTTTTGGCTAAACCCAAGTGTAATACTGTTCTCGGCAGTTTAAAATCTGATATGCCCTTTCTCTAAGTAGTATGTATGAAATGGGCTTTGGAATTTGCACTCAAGGCAGAATCCTGCTCTTTTGCTCTGCACATTGGCCTGGACTGCAGGGTTTCCAGGAACAATGTGTCTCACCTTGGGGTGAATATTTATCCCTTAAAAATAGACTCAGTGTTCGATCTTCTTATTTTGCTCTTAATTTCATGCTCTCCTTTTAAAGAGAAACATAAATGACCCTAGATTTCTAAAACGTTGTCCATCGGAGTTTTGTACATACACTTTGAATTTATTTTTCAGGGTGGGGAGCATAATATATGGCTGGGGTAGACAGATCCCTGATCACCCCCAGCATCGCTGAAGCATGGGCAGTGGCCAGGAATATTGGGAGCTGTGGTCCAAATGGGCCCGGAACTCTGCTAGATCCCTACATCGGGTGGCTGGTTGTGGAGCCCCTGGGACTCCAGGCCAGGGAGAGCATTTCCGTTCGAGTGAGTCCCATTGAATTCAATGGGGCTAGTTTTGCCCCCGAGTGCTTAAGTACAGTGTTCTACTGCAACAGTTCCTCTCCGTTTTATCTTGCACGTGTTTCGCTTTTGGGTGTCCCCTTACCTGCCCAGATCTCACCCACAGTGGATTAGCCAAAAGCCTTTTTCCTGCTCAAAGCCTGTTTTAGAAGAACCCGAGAAAGCTCCAGCATTCTCTGGCATTTCCAGCTCCATCCATTTGAGCCCCAGAGGAGCCCGGCACTGAAAAGAGGCGATGCGCAAGCTCACGAGACGAAGGGGGGAGAGCGAGAGCGCGCACACGTGCAAGGGCGCTTCCACCTGTGCTGCACAGGTTGGGTGCGGCTTGTGACGCCTGGCGTCCTCGGGGCACCCCTGTTGGTGGAAGGGGATTACGGGGGCTTGATTTCAGGGAGAGAATCGAGGTGCAGGGCGGCAGGAGGTGGGTCGAAAAGCGGCTCATCCACGGGGAATCCGATGAACCAGGGATGCTCGGGGCCCCTGTGCTTTTATTTCAGCACGGACCCACGTTCAGCGAGGTCGTGGGGCAGGCGGCCTCCGCAAGGATCGGGGCCCCCCAGCCCAAGTGGGGCCGCCTCTAACGCCGCCTCCGCGCCCGGGGCGGGCGAGCTTGTTTTGCAAAATTGCATCCCTTATCGGAATCCCGTCTGCTGTCGGGAAAGGCGGCAGGACTTGAAGAGTTTCCCTGGATAAATCAGCAAGCCCCCTATGCACAAAGAGTAAGTGGGGAGAAATAATGTAAATTTACGAGTGGCAGGAAGGGGGGAAAAAAGTATCTTGGCAGCGGTGGGATTCGAACCCACGCCATCGAAATGACTGGAGCCTAAATCCAGCGCCTTAGACCACTCGGCCACGCTACCGCACGGCTTAGAGAGGACTCTGGACTCTACATAAGGGACCCAGCAGCTTCCCTGTGCGTCGTCTGCGTCTTGTCGCTTCCTCGTAAAAGGGAACGGAGCTCGTTCTGCGTTGCAACCATGTTTTCTCAAGCTTGGTCCGTTCTGGGGACCTAAAATGGTTTCCCTCTCCTTTAAGCAAAAGCAATGCATATATATACCAGCACGTAGGACTTCCCTTACAGTTTAAGGATTATTTATCTTAATGGGAGTTGTCAAAATAGGTGCTACCCACCCGCAGAGAAAAACTAATCTCAGAAACCGGGGGGGGGGGAGAGCGGTAAGGGGTTGAACAAATTACGCAGACATGAGCAAACCCCCCCCCGCCTTAATGCACGCGTCGAATGGCGCCCTCCACCTGCCGCTACTGCGGGTGCTGTTGTGCACTGTCGACACAAGGTGGCGCTGGTGCTCCAGCATTTTTTCCGTAGGGTAAGACTTTAAACACCTTCATCTCATTTCATTTCCAGACCTCTCCATAGCCGGAGTTCTCTGCGAGGTTCGGCTCAGGACAATTCATAAAATTACAAACGGCAAACGCAGAGAATAACATTATCAGTGTAGAAATAAAATGTCAATATACACCATTTAAAGAGATTTAAGTGTGCAATCCTAGGCCAGTTTAGATACAGAAAAGGCCTGCAAATCCTAAGAAGTGCACTTTTTCTGCCTGGCGGAGGATTGCAGCCTTAAACAGCTGAAAACTATTTCAATAAAAACACTAGGGATGCTGAAAAGACAGCGGAAATGGATGCCCAATGGTAAGCCGTTAGAAACCAATAAATACACAAATTACTTTGTCTTCTGCACCTGCCCTATTTAATGCTCGTGTCATTCCCAAAAGCTTTTCCACGGGTTTCTTCATGGACCCTGCAGTGTGCGGCAAAAGAGGGCGACGCTGGGCTGTCCAGTGCGAGCTGGACTTCAGCCATGGCTGCACTGTCCTGTTCTTATGCTAGACTGGACAGCAGCCTGGTTCCAGGAATCATTTACCCTGCCATCCGCTTTTGTGGCTTCGGCCCAGGTGCAGCGCCTCCGCCTACCAGGTGCCCCGAGTCATGGTGGCAACGACGAGGCACCCCGCAAATGCCAGGCTGTGCGCGCGCGCCTGGGTCGGGGACGAGCGCCTGGCCTATTATCCTTCGACCGTGCTTTGAGGGTGTTGATTTTTGTGCGCATTCTTGCGTAGTACTGATCATTATTGAAATTGATGGGGGGGGGGTCCTGCCATCTGGATTAGTGATGTGTGTAGAGGTAGGGATGAGAAGCAGTGTGTGTGCGCGCGCGCGCGCGCGCCCCCGGCCCTGCTCCCCGTGCATGGCTTGGATCTGCGTTTCAGCTGCAGCTTCTCTTCCTCCCGAGCTGAGCGGGTTGGCTTTGCGCCCGCCCCCCGCCGCCCCCATGACGGGCTTGCCTCGCGTCCCAGCTGGGGTTTTCCGCTCCAGTTATTGCAGCTATGGGGGTGGATTCCAGAAATACACGGGCTTTATCGCGCCCCCCCCCCCGCGTTGCGAGGGGAACAGGTGTGCAGGATTAAACGGGGCAAGAGGAGAGGAGAGCGATGGGCGGCCCTTTCCAGGCCTTAGGATCGCCTCCCCTACCCGGCGGCTTCTCCAAGTGGGGACTGCAGCGCCCATGATCCCCGGCTGGCAGCACCCTCCCGGCTTGCGGCTCCTCCTCCTGGGCTGAGCGAAGGGGCGGGCGAGCGAGCGGCGAGGCAGGAGCGAGCGGAGCGGAGCGCAGCGCTGGGAGTGCTGGCTGCGCCCCAGTCCCGGAGGAAGGCGGCGGCGCGCTCCGGCCTTGGCACGCCTTGCTCGGCCCGCGGCTCGCCTGCCAGCCTCGCCCAGCGGCTCTGCGGCGGCGAAGGGAGGCCGAGAAGGAAGGGGGGACGCCCGCCGGCCGGAGGAACCTGCCCCGCTTTCGCGAGGCTTCTCCTGCGTGCGGATTTCTGCGGAAAGGTAGGCCAGGCGGTGGCGGCGCCGCTTTGCGCGCCAGGCAGCGCGGGCCTCGTGAACGCACACGTGCGTCTGCGCGTGTGTGTGTGCGCGCGCGTGCACGCGTGCACTTGTGGCGCTGGGTGTGTGCACCGAGGGCTGCGTCGTGGCAGGCAGCGCCGGGAGCGTGTTGTTCGGGGACCTGCCCTTTGGAGCCCCGGCCCGCTCTCCCTGCTCTCCGCGGGCGCCTGCAGAAATAAAGGTTGAGGGGCTTTGCTGATTCCCCCCCCCCATGAGCCGCCTTGGCCCAGGTAGGCGTCACCTCCTGCCTCCCCCTCCCCGGTTTTTCTGCTTGTGAGCCCCGCTCCCCGAAATCCTTTCCTCGGCCGTCCATCCCCCTTTCCAAAGAGGGGTGCGCGCAGGAGACGGGGCCTTCCAAAACGCGCACCGGCTTTCGCGCATTTCAGCCTAGCCGTAGCAAATGGTGTGTTTTCCCCTTCCTTCTGGTCGGTGGACACGGGGATTTTCTGTTCCTAGAGAAGCCAACAGACGGGCACAGCCACCCGTTTTGCCTCCGAGTCGAGGTGTCGCCCACTCACTCCACTGTCTGTCTGAATTCGAAATTTTTCTTGGAAATTTCAGCGCTGTTGCTAATCTTCGTGTTGGCAGCGCTGATCAGAGTTGCGGAAACAGAAAGCAAAGGGGACAGATGGGAAGTGAGAGTTTCAAGCTCCCGTGTTGACAGACACAACGTCCATTGTGTCATTTTATCACTCATCGGGACCCAGAAGGGTGTGTGTGCGCGCGCGCGCGGGCTCTTTTGGTTCTTCCCCGTTTATGATCTTTCAAGGGGGCTAATTTTTCTTTTCTTGTTGCAACTGTTGTTTTGAGTCCCTCCAGTATGATGTCCTTTAATGCAAGTGGATTCCAGAAAAGAAACGAAAAGATAACTCTGCTTTAGTTTACTTCAGGGAAAAGGGGTGTGTGTTGGGGGGATACAATTCAAAATGGAAAGAGAAAGAATGTGGGCACTGTTTTAAGCTTTAGGGCACCTTGACGGAGTCTGGTGCCTTTAAGACTTGATGGACAGCAGCTCCCAGTATCCCCAGCTGGCAACATCCATGTTATTAATACCGTTCTGCAAGACCACACCCTGAATACTATGTCCAGTTTCAGACGTTGCCTTTTAAGAAGGATTCAGATAAATTGGAACACGTTCATCAAAGAGCCACAAAGGTGATCTGGAACTAAGCCCTACTAGGAAAGATTAAAGGAACTGGGTATGTTCAGCCTGCGGAAGAGAAGACTTAAAAGCATGGAAGCGGGCAGCACTTCTCTGCCACCCGGGACTGTAGGGCCTGAAATGAGAGATTTTAGTGTGCAGGAGGCAGATTGTGTTGAAAAACAGACGCACTTTCTAATGATCAGAGTAGCCAGAAATGCTGCCAGTTTGCTATGGGGTGATGAGGCCCTGCCATAATTCCAGCAAGCAGAGACTGGACTGCCATCTGTCCGGGATGCTGTAAGTTGGGTCTTTGCCCTGAGCAGGGTGTGGACTCAGACTTGGATCCTTCCAACTCTCCAGGTCTCTGGAGGTGGTGGGCGTTGTAATGCAGCCCGCCTGGAAAGGATGTTTCTTATCCCATAAGAGTAGTGATGGTCTTCAGAATGCCACGAGGCTCTTTGTCTGTCCCTTAGCCGAGAGTCCCTTGTGTTTTCCATTTGCTGTGATCTGAGGGATCACCATTCAGGGAAGGAAATTGCTTCCCAGTTCATGAGTATTACTCTTACTACATTTTGATGCTGCACCCGTTTTTGTCCTCTTGTGAGAAACCCAGGACGGCTTGCGTACTTCTTCTACACTTCATTTTGTCTCCCCAGCAACTCCAAGGGCTGGGAGGGAGACCTTGGAGAGCAAGTTCTCCGCAGAGTAAAGGATACTGAGCTGGACAAGCCCGTGGGCAGACGTTAGTTTCATGTTTTGTTTTGCTGTCTTCCCCAGCTCTGCAGCTTGGGTTGCTGGCATGTCACCTGCTGTGCAGGAAATTTGAGTGTGACTTGCTTGGTTTGTGTGTCTGTCAGTCTGTGGGAGACTGTGATGGGGGGGAACCCCCTTGCAGCATTAAGTTGGATTTGATGGTCCCCAAGGTCGCCTCTCAGAGCTGAAACAGCTTTATTAAAAGTCGTGGTGCCACCAGCCCCGAAGTTACAGTGGCAGTTCTCCTATTGAGTTTTTTAATATCTCTATTCCAATTGTGCCTGTTTCTGCTGCCCCGGTGTTTTGCTGTATGTTGATGATCTGGGATGAGCCAAATATCATGTCAGTTATATTGCTGTGCATTACATTGCTTTACTGCCTATAGCCAAAGCAATTTGGGCAGTTCACAACATGTTGAGTCATCCATCCAGATTTCAGCCAGGCCCAACCCTGCTTAGCTTCCAAGATTGGGCAGGATCAGGCCCTTCAACACAAATTTCTGTGGGAGCCTATTTTCCAAGCACTGTCTTCCCTTTATGGCCAGGACATCTCCAATTATATTATATTGTTTTATATTGTTATTATTTATTTATTGTTGTAAGCCGCCCCAAGGCTTTGGCGAATGGCGGCATAGAAGCTTTCTAAATAAATAAATGAAATGTGCTCCCGCTATGTTTCTTGGCCAATTAATGCATCCTAAGGACTGAGAGGAGAGTCAGTGGCATCTTCTCCTGCTGTTTTTCAGTAAACAGGAAAATAATACAGGCACGGGCAATGTACCTTCAGCAGGGATAGCCAAACTCATCATAAGAGTTGCAGAATATTATTGCAGAATGATCTAGCACAGGCTTTCCCAGTCTGGCCTCCCCTGGAGTTATTGGGCCACAGTTTCCATCATCCCCGAGCCAGTATGATTGTGCTGGCTGTGGGTGATGGAAGCCATAGTCCTGGCATCTCTGGAGGTGTTTGGAAAGACGAGTGTAACTCAATACTTCTTGATAATATGGCACACTGTAAATTTCTATATGGTGTGCATATTTTTGTTTGGCTGGATCAAATTTGGGCACCAGGAAGGACTTTCTGTCTGCCTTGCTTTTCCTTTTGTGTAGTATTTGGGGGCCACTGGAAAACAAAACCAGCATATGCTTTTTGCCAGTGAATGTGCAGAAAAGTCTTGCAGAAAAAGTGGCATGTTATCAGCACAATTCTACCCCTGAGCTAACTCCCTGGCAAGGGTGAGCTGTTGAACACACCGAGATCTACCTTTGGGAAAATAGGATCAGAAGGCAAAAGAGTTTTTGCAATAGGCTGTTGTGCATTTTAATGATTTCACTGTTACATAAGGAACCCAAGACAGTGACAGTCTGAGTGTTTATTCAGGGAAAAGCAACCCAGCTTCTGCAAACGGGAGTCCCGGGGACAATACTAGATAACCCAGAAGATTCAGAGATCAGGCCACAGGGTTAAAAAAAAAAAGCATACATTTGCATATGCTAATTTACATAAAGGCTGTGTGTGTGTGTAAAGGATCTTATCTCTGAAGGGCATTTCTGTGTCTAAATAAATAGATACGGAGAGGATGGCATTTGATTTCAGAATAAAATACCCCAGGCAGAAAGATTCAGCAGGGGCAGCCGGAGGGGAAGCGCATCTGGGCCACAAGCCAGCTGATTCGGGGGATCAGAAGCCGCGGAGTTCACGGGTCCACAGCAGTGGGGCAGATGGCTTCCCGCATATTTGGGGCTCCAAGGGAAGGCTTTGCCTCTGCAGAGTGCACACCGAGAGACTGCAGCCTCCTCATTTCTCGGTGGAGAATTTTGCTGGACCCCCGTGCGCTTGCGGGCTGTTGCTGTCGCATCGCCGCATGCAAATGCCTCCGGTCAGCAGCTCGGCTCATTGACAAGCTCACGTGCTTCTTTGTCCACATAAGCGCCGCTTTCTGGCCAGGGAGCAGACGGAGGAAGGAGAGAAGCGTCGCAAGCGCCGCTCCGTGGAGCCAATCCCTGCACACAGTATACGCTGAAATTATGTAACCTCCCAGGTCCAGTGCTCCAGCCCGTTGCAAAATAGCATTCCGCTCAGTTAAGCCCTGTAGTAATGGAGAGAGTAATTGCATTGTGGGGAGGCAGGGACGGAAAGGTGATTCACGATCGTGTAACAGATCTCTCTGTATAATCCAAAGGAAGGCCTGCGGTTGGCCTTGAAATAAGGATTCGATTCGGCGTGCAAAGTGGAGGAGAGAGCAATCGTTCCGCATTTTGTTGTCCCCAGATCGAAGATTGCCTTCTGCTGCTGTGCTGCAATTCCATGCAGCCCTTTAAAGCTGAATGCATGCGCCCTGCAAGCCTGGGATATTAATAAAATTACTTTTCAAATCCAAACTAGGGAAGTGGGTTTCAGGCAGTAGTTTTTGGAACTGCTTGGGATTAGGTTATTGCCATACAGAACCCTAAACAGCTGGAGAGCAGGGTGTCTAGCTGACCGTCTTCCCTTTAGGTACCCAGCCAGCCATAAACATCATTGGAGGAAGTCTTGCTGGTCCTTCCAAAATTGTCCACAGTTGCTGTGTGAGAACAAGGGAGTCTTTTTGGAGGTGGCTCCAGCCCCGTGGAAAAAACTCTCACGTGCAGTTTGGGATGCAGAAAATGCATCTTTCAAATGTCTCCTGAAAATGCAGCTGTTCGACCAGGATTCCTTTGCTCCATAATTAAATTTGCTGTTCCTGCTGTTTCATTTTACTGCTCTGGTACTGCTCTATATTATTAGTGTATTGCTTTTAAAGTAGCATTTTAAATGTGATTTTAATTGCTTTTAATGTTTATATGGCAACAGCTTAAGGAGTTTTTTAATATTTAGTGGTATTGAAACAGTATGCACAAATAATAAAAACTATGTAGCAGAATTGCCACTATTTGCAGTGTGAGGTAGTGGGCTGATAAAACCTCTCAAAACTACTGGTGCTGTGCTGGTGGATAGGAAGGAAATGCAAATTGTTCTCAGTGGCAGAGAAAGAGAGGAATGCTGACTTGGACTTGGAAGAAGTCAC